TTCTCCAGGGGGTTCTCTCACATACATACCCTAATCCAATTTCTGTCTGTGTTTGGCATATTGGCAGAGGCTTCCCCATTCATTTCAAAAGAAAGGGAACTTCTGTGGGACATAACCTGCTTCCTGAGTGGGAGCAAGAAAAGCAATGGAGTTTTACTTCTGATGTCATATTATTATTATTATTATTATTATTATTATTATTATTATTATACCCCTCCCATCTGGCTGGGTTTCCCCAGCCACTATGGGCAGCTCCAAACAGATGATGATGATTAAAGCGATAAAACATCAAACATTAAATACTTCCCTAAACAGGGCTGCCTTCAGATGTCTTCTAAAAGTCAGATAGTTGTTGATTTCCTTGACATCTGATGGGAGGGTGTTCCACAGGGTGGGTGCCACTCCCGAGAAGGCCCTCACAGGAAGAACATCTTGGCAAAGGGGGTACCAATTTGGCCTCATCCATGGGCCAGTGAAGGGGCAGCTGCTCAGAGGCTTACTTCCCTCTTCCCACTTTTCTCTCCATTTCCGTTTTTTCCTTTCCTTTCATATAGTCTATTTGATTGTGAACCTGTGGGCAGGGACTGACTTATCCTTTAATATATGCACGGTGCTTACAAATCTTTTGGCGCTTCATGTTTAATAAAATTTTATACATGTGTCTCACCTTGCTAAAATGAAAAATAGATTAATAAAGAATCTCTGAAAATGAAGCTCCAGAATTTTGGGTAAAAGGTGGCTTCCAATGCAGTCCAAGGAGTTGAAGTCAGTCAGGAGTGGGGAAGCCAAATGCTACTGTCCACAAAACACCTGCAAACTTCTATGGGACCTTTTTGGATTGATGTTGTGGGACCCAGGTGGTGTTGTGGTCTAAACCATTGAGCCTCTTGGGCTTGCTGATCAGAAGGTCAGTGGTTCGAATCCCTCAAACAGGGTGAGCTCCCATTGCTCTGTCCCAGCTCCTGCCAACCTAGCAGTTTGAAAGCACGCCAGTGCAAGTAGATAAATAGGTACAACTGCGGCGGGAAGATAAACGGCGTTTCTGTGCACTCTGGTTTCTGTCATGGTGTTCCGTTGTGCCAGAAGTGGTTTAGTCATGCCAGCCACATGACCTGGAAAGCTTTCTGTGGACAAACACTGGCTCCCTCGGCCTGAAAAGCGAGATGAGCGCCACAACCCCATAGTCGCCTTTGACTGGACTTAATCATCCAGGGGTCCTTTACCTTTTACCTTTGTTACAAGAGGTATAAAGGTAAAGGTAAAGGCACCCCTGACTGTTAGGTCCAGTCACGGATGACTCTGGGGTTGCAGCACTCATCTTGCTCTATAGGCCGAGGGAGCTGGCGTTTGTCCACAGGCAGCTTCCGGGTCATGTGGCCAGCAGGACTAAGCCGCTTCTGGTGAACCAGAGCAGTGCATGGAAATGCCGTTTACCTTCCCGCCGGAGCAGTACCTATTTATCTACTTGCACTTGACATGCTTTCGAACTGCTAGGTTGGCAGGAGCAGGGACCGAGCAACGGGAGCTCACCCCATCACGGGAATTCAAACCGCCGACCTTTTGATCAGCCAGCCCTAGGCTCTGTGGTTTAGACCACAGCGCCACCCCCGTCCCATTTACAAGAGGTATAGCTGAGGTTTATATAGTTACCTGGTATAATGGGACCAATTCCTCATTCATTGATAGAAAAGATACTAAATATTAGGAGTATGTAAATTGCCCTCAGAATTTTATTCCTTTTTAAAAAAACCAAGTGCATTTCTTTATTTGTTTTTTTCAGTTAAAGTGCAAGCTGAAACAGGGAAACTTCAAGAGTTCTTTGCAGTGCGACAGACTAAGGTGGTTATAGTCATAAAATGAGTCCCAGTACATGAAGCTGATGTTTACCTCAGCGCTGGATTTAGGTGGTTGTGTAGGTGGTTCCTTTGTACAGGGTGCCAAGCTAAGGGGACACAAAATAGAGAAGATTCGTAATTGAGAAGATCCATTTGGAGGTGCCAAATTTTGGCCTCGCATAGGGCGCCATATTATGAAATATTACCAAAGTCTGCCCCCATTTACCTAACATTACAATCCTATGCATGCCTACTCAGAAATGAGGCCTACTGAATTTAGAGAAATATACTCTTGGGTTGGCATGCAGGATTGCAGCTTTGGTATTATTTTCGACAATGGGTAATATTTGAGAAATTGTCCGGATGCTTAAACTGTATGCCGCTATTTATTCTCTGGAGAAAATAAACCAAAAAGGTGCTATCGTCAAAATGTCTACATTTGCAATTTGTTTGCTTATTATCAGTTCGTAGATGTTTTCTTTTGTCATCTGACAGCAAATGGAGAATCAAGTACGCCCTAAAATATTGATTGATGGGTGTACCTCAACAGCCATTAGACAGCTGTTACGCTGCCGTAAGACTCTGATTTCATGGAGCAATTTTCTAATCAAAAGTGGTTGGTTAACAATAAGGTCAAAGAAGCAATTAGTGAAGAAAAATACATAACACGGAAGCCATTTACTACAATGCGTGCTGACATCGACGTGAATTGTAGTATTGGAGCCATTAAGGTGACCTGGAGTACTCTATCACACTTTGGCTGACCCTGACAGACTTTGACCAGCTATTTGTTGTCATATCTCCTTGATTGAGCTACATGACAAATACACACAAACCCCGATTCTCAAATGACACCTTTTGTGCGAAGGCACAGCGTTTGACCTTTAAGTGGTAAAGGTCACTGGGTCATGTGATGGAACATCTGCTACCTCCGTTGTCTCGAGGCAGCAATTCTGTTAACTAATATAGCATAACCTTTCATTTCTAAGCGATGACATTCATCCCTCGCTAAACTATGTCAGGTTTCCAGCACAGAAATAAGATTTTTTTTTTAAGGTCCACCCGCTCCCCTCTTTTCATTTATTATGTGCACCGTCAGGCAATATGCTTTGCCTCAATCACTCAGTGACTTCGGGAGATAGTAAATGCCAAATTACTTCTCTGTTCTGCATGCAGGGTGATTAGAAGCAAGGAAGAAAAGGCTCCTTTTAAATAGAGACGTAGAAGAGATTTCCCCCTGCCCCCTGGATGCATCCCAAAGAGCTGAGGGTCCCATTTCTCTTTGGCATCTCGAAAAGCAGAGATCTTTAATTCCCCCCTCCCCAACCAGATGGCAGCATTCTAGCATCACAGCAGCTTTCAAAAGCATGAGCATGTCATTCAAGACAGTCAGCAGTGTTTTGGCAGCTGAGACTGTGTTTCGTATCTGGAATATTTAGGGAATTTAACACACCTGTGCTGATGCTGTTATGTTGCTCACACTGTTTATCAGTCTTTGAACAGACTCTGAGTAAAAGTCCCAGGGACATACAGATCAGACTAGAGGGGTGGGGGAGATGTAACTTAAAAAAATAATAATCTTTTGAGTGTGGTGCTGATAATGCCAAGGTTGCAAGTTGCAGGTTTGATCGCCATAAGGGATGGCTGCATATTATTTCCATCGTTTGCCAAATGCAATCTTTGTCACCTAGTGGGAATATGGCTGACCAAGTGATAGGGCTTTATCTTCACAATCAGGCATAGGCAAACTCGGCCCTCCAGATGTTTTGGGATTACAATTCCCATGATCCCTATTTAACAGGACCAGTGGCCAGGGATGATGGGAACTGTAGTCCCAAAACATATGTTTAATAGATCATTGTATTTTCATATTCTGTTGGAAGCTGCCCAACAAGATGGGCGGGGTATAAATAAATTACTATTATTATCATCATCATTATTATTATCTGTGTTGTTTAATTAGGAGCAGGAACATGACCCTTGGGAAAGGTAGTTTCCTATGACAAACAAGTCAGATGACCCATTATAATTATTTTAAAAAAAACAGAGAGCCATCATGGGCTGACTAGTAAAAGCAGTCATTATTGCAGGGCTGTTGTGTATACTTGTCCTTAAACTCACATGGTGCCTGCTTGGAAAATGCTGGAAGTCTGAGTCCTTCTGGTTTCGCATATGCCCCCCACACCTACTCCTTTCAAATCAGCTTTGTGCTTTGTTTCTGTGATTTTTGGTACAAGTTGAGCAGAACTGGAGCTGACAGCTATTCCCCTCCCCCATTTACCATCGCTCCCTAACCCCTGCACCTATCATTCTGATATTTTTCTGGAGTACTCTCTGACATATGCTATTTTCATATATATTGGTTTTCACCCCACAAAACAACACAGGAGCTTTTTTAACCACTCACAACTGTAAAGGCTGCCTTTATAAGAAAACAGCTGTATCTGTCACTCTGAAATTTGGCAGTTGTCATCTCCTTAGGAGAAGCTATCATGCCTGAAAATTTCATCTAATCCTTAAAAAAACAGAGAGAGAGACAGTTTCAAACTTTTAACCCCCCCCCTTTTTTACAGGTGATATGCATAAAACCCTCCAAATATATTTGTCTGAGATTTGGCAGACATTATCCATTTAGATGGGGTTACTTTGCCTGCAAATTTTATCTGCTTCTGTCAAAGAGAAATAAAGTTACAACAATTTTTGTTTTTCTCATAATAATGACTAGTGAAATGAAAAACCACCAGATTTCCTGAATCAGAATTTGGAGCCATATTGGTCCTAACAGATTTCGTCTCTTATGCAAAATGCTAAATTGGGGTCAAAACAAAACCTCATATCTGCGCACATCCCTACTATGTGCATTTTTGAAGTTTCACAAATACGTCAACAGGGCACAAAATCATCCCAAAGCGGTATGCATTTTTTGGTGTGTGGAGTCTGACCAGGAACTGCTCTTTCACTTTCACATTACACTCAAATTCAAATAAGTGTTCCTGGCAGAATTTGACATACTGGATGATGTAGAATATGCTACTTGGTCAGGTCCCCCCTCCCCCCTTCAGTTTGTGTTGCTTTGTTGAGCAGACCATAATGCAGGCATTGCCTGGGACCCAGGTGCATGTATTGACTAAAACGGTTCTCTAAAGTAATAACTAACCAAGTGCTCTACTGGGAACGTTGTTCTTTCCTTTTCCATTTCTGCTGTAAGGGGAAAACAAATTAAATTAGTATTATTTATTTACCCGTAGCTGTGAAAAGTGCACATCCAAACTCATAATGGCATGAAAATAATTTAGCACGTGCTTTTAACATTAACTAATACTATATATTCTTATTGTTTATGTGGATATATGAATTGTGGACCTCTTCGGTTTCCCAGCAGTGGAAAACACACACACATTCAATTAATTCTCTGCATTTGAAACTGTCGACTTTTACTTGAGATATAAATATTGCTTTTCAGCGTTGAAGGAAACAAGGGTCTCTCGCCCTCTTTCTCAACAAGTTCTTGAGGAATGAAGAGGAAAGGTGTGTGTGTGGGGGGGTCTTCTTTTCAGCCTGAGAGTCACATTGCCGCCTGGGCTGCCTTTTGAGGGCTGTATGCCAATGGGGACCAATGTTTCTAGCCCAAAATGGGAAGAGCAGTAGATGCAAACTTTACCTTGGTACAGTAGTAGAGTTTCTACCTGCACTTAAGCACTCCTCTCTGTTCCTCATTTGGACAAACCTTATCTGAGTTCAAGCAGGGGCGTAGCTAGCTGTTTCAGCACCTGGAGTGACGTGGGCCAGGTGAGCCACCCACGGGGGCAGTGCGGCATGTCAGGAGCTCAGCCTACACTCAAGTAGGACCCTGGCAGAGACACATGCCCGTCTGGCATGTTCTCTCCCTTCTGGTCGATTGTTCAGGAGCTTCAAAAGCTTTCGTCAGCCCAAACAACAGACAGGAATCCGCAGAATCTGCGCAGCTTGTGTGACAGACCTCAGCAACTCAGCATTTTCGGTAATCTACTTTATTTACATATAAACACACACGGAGCACTGCAACATGGCTCCCTCTCTCTCTAGCATCAGGCAGCAAAGAGAAAAGAACAAAGGACAATAGTCCCACTTCACAGTAACACAAACATCCTGTCTCGGTCCCTTCCCACTCTGTGGAGTCAAAACATATATCGTCATGTGATAGACAATCCCATGACTACAAACATGGAGCAGGAATTCTAACACGGTGATCTGCGCATGGGGGTGCTGTGGCGATCCGCCCAGGGGGAGGCGTGGTGATCCGCCCTGGGGGGTGGTGAGGCGGGCTGCCCATGGAGTCCGCCTGGAGGATGCGGGCTCCACGCTGCCATTTCAAGCAGTGCGGGGCCCCGAGCCACTGCGTCACTCCCAGGAGAGATGCGTGGCTCGGGCTTGCTGCAGGCCAGGCCCCTCGGTAAGTGCCTCCCCCCCGCAGTGTGCCATTTTGTCACCCCCTCAGGGATGACACCCGGGGTGGACCGCACCCTCGCACCCCCTTCCTACGCCCCTGAGTTCAAGGGCACATTCCAGCCAGCCAAATGAGAGTGCAAAGCAGAGTCGATGAGAGGAGTGGCTCGTGGAAAAAAACCTGGAAGGCTGCCTTTTTGCTGCTGGGCCTGAGGTTCCCCATCACTCTCCTAGAGCAATGAAGATTTGTTTTTAGAATGACTGCGCCAGCTTAGCCATGAAGATACTGCCACATGTTTGCATGTATCCATTTGTATTGATGTGATTGTTTGGTAGATTCATTGTTGCAACCACTACATGCAATACATGCAAAATCCCAGCGAAAGAAGAATGGATACAAAAACTTATGGAATATGCAGAAATGGAGAAAGCTTACCGGAAAAATAATAAATCAAGATAACAAACTTTTCATAAAAGAATGGAAATGGTTTATTGAATATTTACAGATAAATTGTAAACAGATAAGAGCATTGGCAGGATTATGGTAAGAAGCTGCAGTTTCCTAAGAGCATATCTTTAAAAAAGACGAATACATGAGCAGATAAAGTTAATTTGGATATGCAGAATATATTAAAAATAAATTTAAGGGACCACAGAAAGAGGGGGGAGGAAGTCAAGTTTTGAATTGTAACAATGATCATAAAATCAGTGAAATGTATAAACCTGAAAAGTATATTTTTAATATATTTTTTAAAGAAGTGCAGTGTTTTCATATGGGTCATTCCTAGGAAGCCCCACAAGATCTGGTCATGGCCATCAATGTAAGTCCAATTCAGGCATTCTGTTTATTTGTCCAATGAAAATCCCGTGAGGCAAGGGCATGTTGGTGAACTTTTTGGGTATATCACCCGCCCCCAACCAGCTGTCCAGAATCTGGTAAAGACAAACATCTGAGGTGGAGAACCTTCTGCATTCCTGGAGGCTCTTGGCAGAGTTTAGATCCCCAATAGTTTAGACCATAAAGTTTAGAGTTTAGACCATAAAGAAGGCTGATCGCCGAAGAATTGATGCTTTTGAATTATGGTGCTGGAGGAGACTCTTGAGAGTCCCATGGACTGCAAGAAGATCAAACGCATCCATTCTTAAGGAAATCAGCCCTGAGTGCTCACTGGTAGGACAGATCCTGAAGCTGAGACTCCAATACTTTGGCCACCTCATGAGAAGAGAAGACTCCCTGGAAAAGACCCTGATGTTGGGAAAGATGGAGGCCACAAGGAGAAGGGGACGACAGAGGACGAGATGGCTGGACAGTGTTCTTGAAGCTACCAGCATGAGTTTGACCAAACTGCGGGAGGCAGTGGAAGACAGGAGTGCCTGGCATGCTCTGGTCCATGGGGTCACGAAGAGTCGGACATGACTAAACGACTAAACAAAAACAAACAATGATCCCCAATTCTATACCGTGCAGGAATCCCTCCATCCATAAAGCAGGCTCCCTCCTTCAAAAAAATTCACCATCAAACTCATGAAAGCCAGGATGGGGGGAAAGGGATTCTGGAGTGTGTGGAATTTTCCAGTGCACTCTTGCTCTCCCTCAAACTATTTCCATCACACAAACAAACAGAAGGCTTGAAAAGGGCTGTCAATAGCTTTAAAAGAGGACTGGAGAAGCTCACGGAGGATAAAGCTGTTATTGCATACTTGTCGTGATGCCTGTATATCACTGCCGGTATCAGCAGCTGTAAGACTCCAAAAACCAGCTGCTGAGGGACAACAGCGGGCGTTTTGCACTTGTGCCCCGCTTGGCGGCTTCTCATTGGTATCCAGCTGGCCACTGTGAGAACAGAAAGCTGGAGCAGATAGACTTTTGGTTTCAACCAGCAGGGATCTTCTTATCTTTTTATGTTCTTAGCTGTGAAAACTCTGGGATCAGATGATACTTTGTTTCCGACACAGCTGCGTCCATGAGGCTGTTCTGCACATTTCAAATTCAGATATTCAAATTGGCATCAAGAGATGCCATTGGTCACGTGATCTGCTTCCTGCCGTGCTAGCTTTGACCTAGAAAGGCCATCACAGCTTGGGACTCCCATGTTGAAGGCGATGACTCCACTCCCTATATCACCCAACACAACACAATGATCAAACCCTCTTTCCACTAGCCTCAACCATGGTTAATGCTACCAGGGTTCCCATCTTAACCAGGATGTCTATTGGGGTTTGTAGTTAAAGCCATGGTTTTCCCAGTAGTGATGTATGGAAGTGAGAGCTGGACCATAAAGAAGGTTGATCGCCGAAGAATTGATGCTTTTGAATTAAGGTGCTGGAGGAGACTCTTGAGAGTCCCATGGACTGCAAGAAGATCAAACGTATCCATTCTTAAGGAAATCAGCCCTGAGTGCTCACTGGAAGGACAGATCCTGAAGCTGAGACTCCAATACTTTGGCCACCTCATGAGAAGAGAAGACTCCCTGGAAAAGACCCTGATGTTGGGAAAGATGGAGGGCACAAGGAGAAGGGGACGACAGAGGACGAGATGGTTGGACAGTGTTCTCGAAGCTACTAGCATGAGTCTGACCAAACTGCGGGAGGCAGTGGAAGACAGGAGTGCCTGGCGTGCTCTGGTCCATGGGGTCACGAAGAGTCGGACATGACTAAATGACTAAATAACAACAACAACAACAACAACAACAAGCTGCTTTGAAGACCTTGTGGAAGGGAAGCAGGGTTAGAAACTGGCAGGGTTGCACACATACCTCGTTGCTGGAGCATAAAGCCCACTAGGGCTTTACGTAGAGTAGATGCAGAAGAGGCTCTTTTGAACTACAAACCTTGGATCATCCTGTAGCTTAACTAAACAAAAGCCTTTGTACAGGATACTGATGATGGGAGGCTTTCCTCTTCCCGTACTTCCTCTTCATGTTTTCATCCTAGCTCAAGAATTTATTGTAGCCATTAGTCTTCCGAATGAAAAATTCTCTCTCCAGTTTTGATTTTATGATAAATCTGGGGAAGTATATTGCTAACATATGAAAGGATGTATTAAAAGTTGTTTGTATCAAGAAAGAAAATAGCTACAGGCCTTACAATGGAAAGGTGATGATATATTTGTTGTCACTGAGGGAATTGTTGGATCATAGGCACTGCAGATAAAAATCTCATCTCGATCAGAAATGCTATTTCCTCCTTGCAATACTGAGTTTTACCCAGAATGCTGGATACTTTCCAAAAAACCTAAACCTGACAGAGAAAAAAACAAACACCAGACCAAAAGTAAGTGTGTTGAAATTTTGCAAGTATTTTTTTTAAAAAAGAATTCCTTGTACTCATTTATTTATTCTAGAATACGTTTCTAGTTACACAAAAAATTAATATATTTCAGGGATCCATTTTAAATGCGATAGGACTATAGCAGGCATGTACAAAGTCCGATTTGGGGGCTCAATCTGGCCCACTGGTTGGTTTAATCTGGCCCCTGTGGCAGTTTATTTCAATCCTAAAAAATCCTAAATCCTAAAAGAAAGCTCAACAAATTTGGGGTAAGATCCTGAAAAAAAAACAAAACTCAACAACATTGGTTGGCCCCCATGCATGTTCACTTCATCATATCTGGCCCTCTTTGAAAAAAGTTTGGGCTCCCCTGCACTATGGGAAAGATGTATTCTGATCCATCAACTTATTTATATATTAAAATATTGGCATGCCACTTTTCCAGCTGTTTGGAGGCGTTTACAATAAATACTTTTTTGAAAATACAGATAAAACAAACATTGAGAACATCTAACATCATTTTAAGTAGCCACAGAACCCAAAACCAGTTGTATTGTTTTGAGCAAGAGGCATCTGACCTCCTGCAAGTTCCACAGTTTTGAAGCTGCCACCGTAAGGACCCCTACTCTGAGCTGTGACTGTCGCTACTGCCCACAAAAATGAAACTGAAAGAAACGCCTGCAGACTAGATTTCAGGAAGCAAGTGGGCTCATACATGGAGTGATGTTTCTTGAGGCATGGAGCATTTGGACCAACAAAACACCAAAACAAATGCTCTTGGTACGAACCTCCAAAACTGGACAAGAGTTGGGGGGGGGACTCCCATTGGTGCTATGTGCACATGTGGTTGTCAGAATCATGGCAAGGGAGGGCATAGTCTTGTCTTTTCATACAATCCATTCCCTATTTGTAACTCACTCTACGTGGGGCTGCCCTTGAGACTGACCCAGAAACTCCAGCGAGTGCAGAATGCCACGGCAAGACTCCTTATGGGGTCCTTGTCACAAGATCACATTCACCGGGTGCTATACCAGCCGCACTGGCTCCCCGTGGAGTACAGGATCAGCTTTAAAGCCCTATACGGCCTAGGACCCTCATACCTACGGGACCGCCTCTCCTGGTATGTCCCACGGAGGACCTTACGGTCTTCAAATGAAAACATCTTGGAGGTCCCGGGCCACAGGGAGGTTAGGCTGGCCTAAACCAGAGCCAGGGCTTTTTTGGCTGTGGCCCCAATCTGGTGGAACGCTCTGTCACAAGAGACTAGGGCCCTGCAGGACTTGACATCTTTCAGCCCCCCACAATGTCCCCAAAGTGCAGAGATGAAGCACAGGGTTGAGTGTGGTGGAGCTATAATGGCTAATTCCTCCTCCTCTTGCCACGAAGAGGAATGAGGGTCGAATCAGCTGGTGGTACTGCCAGGAGGAGGTGAAGGAGAAGCCACCGGCCATTGAAGCCACATGGCTGCCACATTTGGCTCCGCCCCTGGCTCCTCCCAGTATCCCCCAATTGCCCGCACAAGCTGGCGTCTCAGCAAGCAAATAACACTAATACAGTGGTACCATGGTTCTCAAACTTAATCTGTTCCGGAATTCTGTTCCAAAACCAAAGCGTTCCAAAACCAAGGTGTGCTTTCCCATAGAAAGTAATGCAAAACAGATTAATCCGTTCCAGACTTTTAAAAACAACCCCTAAAACAGCAATTTAACATGAATTTTACTATCTAGAATCATAGAATCATAGAATCATAGAGTTGGAAGAGACCACAAGGGCCATCGAGTCCAACCCCCTGCCAAGCAGGAAACACCATCAGAGCACTCCTGACATATGGTTGTCAAGCCTCTGCTTAAAGACCTCCAAAGAAGGAGACTCCACCACACTCCTTGGCAGCAAATTCCACTGTCGAACAGCTCTTACTGTCAGGAAGTTCTTCCTAACAGCTCTTACTGTCAGGAAGTTCTTCCTAATGTTTAGGTGGAATCTTCTTTCTTGTGGTTTGGATCCATTGCTCCGTGTCCACTTCTCTGGAGCAGCAGAAAACCACCTTTCTCCCTCCTCTATGTGACATCCTTTTATATATTTGAACATGGCTATCATATCACCCCTTAACCTCCTCTTCTCCAGGCTAAACATGCCCAGCTCCCTTAGCCGTTCCTCATAAGGCATCGTTTCCAGGCCTTCGACCATTTTGGTTGCCCTCCTCTGGACACGTTCCAGTTTGTCAGTGTCCATCTAACGAGACCATTGATTCATAAAATGAAAGCAATAATCAATGTACTGTACTATAAAATAAATAAGACAGTACTGTAGATTATAAAAATTAAAATTATTTTTTCTTCTTACCTGCACTGATGATAGTCATTGTTTGGATGGGGAGGCTTTGATCCATTTCCGCAGTCACACAATCAATCAATCAATCAATCAATCAATAAATCAATAGCTGAACTGGGTTCCACGTAGTCACGAAAACAAATTAACCGACAAAGCCTCAAAAACAAAAATGCAAAATAAATAGCCAAAACCAAAGCGCCAAATTTAATGTGTTCCAGAAGTCTATTTGACTTCCAAAACATACAAAAACCAAGGCTCAACTTCTGATTGGTGCAGGCGCCCTGGTAACAACAGCCGACAGCCACATCAGATGTTCAGCTTCCGAAAAACATAACACTTGCTTCCGGGTTTTCAGCGTTTGGGAAACAAGGCATTTGAGAACCAAAGTACCACTGTATTGTAAAGTGGAATCAGTTCAGCTGCTAGACATTGAGCGATCGACTGCAGAGAAATTGAGTGATACACATGCACCTGTGAATGAGACCTAAACGTGTCCTACCTTAGGAGCTGAAGCTATGAAAAGCCATGAATGAGGACGTAAAACAAATCATTTTAGGCACCTTTCGCTGCGGGTGTCATTGCCAGTTCAGCCTTGAAAAAGAATCCCAAATAGTCATTAGCCTACTTTAATGAAAACTGCCGGTGAAGGCTGCCACTTGTGTATTAAATCATTATTTTTTCATAATTTGATACTAATCCAGTGTTCTGTTTTTTGAAAAAGAAGAAGAAAGAAGCAGCTATCATTACTCGGTGATTATATTTTATGCGTTCACAAATGTGCAGAATGACAAAGTATGTTTTCATGCCAGATTCACTTGTTATGCCCTTGTGCTTTTGTAGCAGTAAAATGGCTTATAGTATCCTTTTCAGAAGGAATTAGAGCAATTGCATTTTTAAAAATAGCATTTCTGCCTAAGCAGCAACCGATAGTACTGCAGCCACGGCTTTCTACACAAAGGCTGGAGAAATATAATAATCTTAAATGGAAGAAGCAATAATACGATAGTGAGACATTCTGAGTACCTGGGCTTAAGCTGCTGATTACTGAGGATGCTAATTTTGTGGCAGTGCCAGAATTTTATGTTAATGCTATTGAACAAAAGGCTAAAGCATTTTTTAATTTAAAATTACTGAACTATAAAATTGAAGTATTAGATTAGGTGGACAAAGGGAAATACGATGTCAAAAGTGCGTTTCTGTCACCTTCGCTTGAGTTGAACTTTTGAAAGGCGGCGCCTCGTTGTTTTCAGTCAGAATTCTGCCCTTGCTGTTTTGAATGGTGCCCATCAAAGATGATTCGCATTCAGCTATCTGATCGAAAGCATCACCTGCATATGGGTAACATTGTGTGACTCCACCCACATTTTATGGTGGGTAGCTTTGCGGCCCGTGGCGATCTGGCAGGGGGTACGATATTGGCTGTCCTGCTGGCACCTGGTTGTGCCAAACAGTGGTGGAGGAAGCTGATTGGGCGTCTGGGGTGGCGAGTGTGCCCCACACCCAGGGGCAGGGCCAGCCTCCCATGGGGCCAGGCAGGGCAGGACGCTCCATGGGGCCTCCGAGGAGTCTGCCTGCCTCCTCCCACTCAGCCACCCTACAGCTGAGGGAGAGGCGGTGGTCATCAGGGGCGGCGAGTGTGCCCCACACCCAGGGCCAGCCTCCCATGGGGCCAGGCAGGGCAGGACGCTCCGTGGGGCAGCACAGAGCCTGGGGGCGCCCAAGCCACCGCGTCACTCCCAGGAGAGACGCATGGCTCAGGCACGCTGCAGACCCAGCGGTGAGTGCCGCCCGCCATTTTGTTACCTCCCTCAGTGGTGACACCCGGGGTGGTCCACCCCCACCGCCCCCTTCCTCTGCCCCTGGTGCCAGGGGCATGGGCCAAGCTGTCCTCTGGGAGCGGGCTTGGCTGACCAATCAGCACTGGCTGGGCATGCTCCTGGAGGGAATTTAAAGGGCGGGCACAGCAAGGCAGCCACCCTTGTCGGTTCTCCTGCCCTCCCACCCTCTAATTTTGCTTTTGCTATGGCCTTGCTATGGACCATGTCGGTCGCCGTTTTCGGGGCCGAGCAGGAATTTCCCCCACTTGGCAAATTGGCACTGGCCATTGGGTTTTCACCTACCTCATAGCAATAACCACAACTTTGTGAGGTTAGGCATTGGGCAAGCCTTTGGTTGGTTGGAGAGGAGGTTGTAGCTTCCGCCTGCCCCTCTTTGTTAAGGGTGTCCTGTTAAATTCATCCGGGGAGACTGGCTTCTGTGCGATACCCAGACGGGGGCTAGGGCCATACCACTCCCACCAATGGGGATGCCTGAGGGGGGAGTACCACTATTTGAAGTGGGTCATAGTGCTCCCCCTAATGGTGGTTTACCCTTAGATGCTCTCCCAGCAGACGAGCAGGAATGATATAGTCTGGCTTCATCCAATGTGTACGCCAAACCGCTCACACCTGTAACCAATGAAGTTGAGGGCTATTTGAACCCATAAACCAAACACCATTGTCTCTGTGTTTACTCATCGCCTAGGGAACTGCGGGTCACAGGGTCTTGGCACATAAATGCCATCTCTACATCACAGTAAGCACTTTACATATCTTGGTATAGGTGTGCTATATAAATAACAAGTATATTAACAACCTGTGGGCTGGGAAAGTGGGAATATAATCCACTGATGTGGAGAACATGGTCCCATAGCCTACCACAGGTACACCAAATGTGAAAGATGGTGGGATTATCCGCAAGTAGGCCTCCTTAAATTTATTCTGAATGTTCTCTGTTTCTCTTGGTTTCTTACAATTCTGATACGACCATGAAACTTTCATAATCATACCCTCCAACATTTCTCAGATGAAAATAGGACATTCTGTTCTACATCAAGAAGCTTCTCCTGCATTTATCTCTCTGCACATATTTACGTCATGTACAGATCTACATCGGTCTCCTTGAGCCAACTGCAGCCTCTCCACCTCACCTATCTCATAAGATTGTTATAAAGAAAAAAAATGAAAGGGATATACAATACCTTCAATGGATAAATAGAATGAAATAAAATTTTAGCTGTAAGCTGTCTTGAGTAAGGGGAAAAAATGGGAAGAAATAATAATAATAATAATAATAATAATAATAATAATAGAAACCATGAGAATGATCAAGAACATACCAGAGACTAAATTCTATTGAACTCAGTGGGGCTTACTTCTGAGTAAAAATGCTTAGGATTGTAGTGTAAGACTGCACAGTCTTTACCGAGTTATCTGGGAGTAAGCTCCAGTGGGACTTACTTCAGAGTAGACATGTAAAGGCTTGCAGTGTAAGGCTCAATTTAGAATTAAGGAATAAACACACCGCACATTTCCTTAAAAAATGGTTGACTTCTGAATCATTGGAATTAAAGAATCTAAAGTGTTAGCAATTAGTAAGACACATTTCACTCTTACATGACACTGCCCATAAATTTTGGTGGCTCCTTTGTTAAATGTCCTGATTCAGTAAAGGATAGTAAAGCTCACCTGTCGAGGAAGTGTCCAGGTTTTCTTAATGGAAATATTCATGGAAGGCTTGACTGCTGGATAAATACATGGTTTAGAGGAGGTGTCCATTAAAATCTCCATTCAAATATGTTCCCCCTCACGAATATCATCAAGCCTAGGGAATCCCCACCAGAGATCACAGAGACAGTGAGAAAATGAGGAATTCACAGCATCCTGTAGTCAATCAGATGGGCAGAGCAATATTGGCTGGGCAGAAAAGAGACATGAATGAGTGTGCTGGTCCCGAGGGTTAACCGTGCGGTGAGGTCCGAGTCCAGTCCAAGTTCGAGGAGGCTGTCCGTCAAAGCTGAAGTGGGGTCCAAGGCAAGGAGTCGGGTGAGGTCAGGAACTCTGGCAGAAGAGCAGAACAGGGTGCAGGCAGGAACAGGCTACCAACAATGTTGCTCCCGCAATCTGGGACTAGGGCTGGCTGGCTTTTATCTGCCCCGAGGCATAGGGCAGCCCCGGTCCACAGGTGACTCGCCTCTCCTGGCCTCGAGGCGAGCACTCCTCCTGTGGGAACTTAGTTCCCTCCGCCTCTCTGCCCTGAGCCTCTGCAGCTCAGGAGAGGCTGGAGGATTACCGGACCCAGAGGCAACCTCAGTTTCCCCTGACGGGGCTGAGAGTGGAGCACCTGCAGGCAATGGGTCCTCCATCACCTCAGGAGCCAGAGCAGACTCAGCTGGTGCCTGCACCTGAGGATCCAGCACAGGTGAGGACCCTTCAGGCTCAAGCCCCAGCCCCGGCTCAGCTGGTTCTGGAGGCGGGGACTCCTGTGCAGGCTGGGATTCCTCAGGTTCAGCCTCCGAGTCCGAATCCCAGGCCACCACAATGAGTGGCATCACAGTTATTGCATCTGCAGCCCCACCAGTCATGCCAGACAAGATGGAAGGCAGAGTGGGCAGGCAAAACCCTGGAGCTGGCTTACCAACCAGGTCCACGTTGTGCCTCATGTTGCTGAGTGATGGCAGTGGAGGTGGTCCAGTGGATCCTGGGCTGATCCAGCTCCTCCCCACCCACAGAACACTCCATTTGGGGACTTTCCATGGACAATCACTGGTAGGAATCCTGCTGGCAGTACTTCTGCCCACCTGTACTTCCAGCGAACAGAACAGGCAGCTCCATGCTGATGGAGTGACGTTGGAATCCCTCCATGGACAGAGGCTGGCAGAGATGGGTGGAGGGCGGCCTCTGGTGGATCAGTGGTTCAGATTGCAGTCTATGCATGCTCTCTATTCATGGACACCAAAATGCAAATAGACTGATTTCCCATCCATTACTTTGAAGCTCCATCTGGAAATGTGTCAGGTCCCACCTAGCTGTAGCTTCTTACAGGTGTCTTGAGTTGCAGTTATCTGTGATAAAGTAAGTCCAGAACTACAATTACCAATGTATAGAGCAGAGGTGGGAAACCCTCAAGATGTTGTTGGAGTCCCATCAGCCTCAGCTAGTGTTGGCAAAAGGTAAGGATGATGGGAGCTGTAGTCCAACAACACCTGGTTCCCAATCCCTGCTATAGAACATTTCTGAATTAGTGAAGAGCTGTACTGAGGGGGGGGGGGGATAATCAAGGATACGAAAGAATGTATAGAATTAGAGAAGGGCTTTAAACCTTATTCCTTTATAATGAAATATTTCACTTCAGCTGGATCAGCAGTTTACCTTCAGACAAGGGCAGGGGGGGGGAGTTTAAATTATCTGGGTTCATGAATGTGTGAAAGACTGGAGCCATTCTTTTCATCTTAGTGAAACATTTACAGTGCCCCCAGAAAACATATTCTTGTTAAATGAGATCAAGGGGAAATTGGTGTCAGGCCTTTAAACCCAGCTGAGCTTCCCCAGCTGAAACGGCAAATAGCTCCAGCTGGACTGCGAATGAACTTCGGGTCATCAGCTGACAGTACAACGCCACGCCAAGCTCGGCAGGCCATTTCGTAAATTACTTGGTTCCTAAGCATGAGTATAGACTAGGCTCCTCCTTCCCAGAAAGAACACCCTACATAACAAGGGAAAGCCCAGTCTGGCCCAGGAGGAAAAGCTGCAGAGAATTTACTTGCTTGCTTGTTTTGGCCATGTGACAAAGGCCTTTGCTGCAACTGCCCTGGGACTGCAGTGCTTAATTTTCCAAGAAAAAGAGGTTCTGGAAGTCATCATGAACACCTCCCTTGTTGTTTTACAATGGCAATAGTGCCCACCTGAGAGGTGCTATAACTTCCGACTGAAGGAAGTCCTACCTGGGAGTGCAGAAGAAGAAGATGAAGAAGAGTTTGGATTTGATATCCCGCTTTATCACTACCCGAAGGAGTCTCAAAGTGGGTAACATTCTCCTTTCCCTTCCTCCACAACAAGAAACACTCTGTGAGGTGAGTGGGGCTGAGAGACTTCAGAGAAGTGTGACTAGCCCAAGGTCACCCAGCAGCTGCATGTGGAGGAGCGGAGACGCGAACCCGGTTCCCCAGATTACAAATCTACAGCTCTTAACCACTACACCACATGCAAGGAAGCTCTGGCCTCTGCCACTTGGTGTTCATTGTTGAAGTAAGAGTAGCAAAAACACAGCTAAGACTCTCAAATCATATATATGACTGACACCCTTCTTTGGAAATTAAACCAATGTCCAGACTTTAACATTCAAAAACTTTACTTGCAGAAACTTACAGTTATAGATCATGGGTAGGCAAACTAAGGCCCGGGGGCTGGATCCAGACCAATTGCCTTCTAAATATGGCCTGTGGACGTTCTGGGAATCAGTCTGTTTTTACATGAGTAGAATGTGTGCTTTTATTTAAAATGCATCTCTGGATTATTTGTGGGGCACAGGAATTGGTTCATCCCCCCCCAAAAAATATAGTCCAACCTTCCACAAGGTCTGAGGGACAGTGGACTGGCCCCCTGCTGAAAAAGTTTGCTGACCCCTGGTTATAGATGAATTAAAACCTAATATTTACAGTCTCATGCTTCACCAAGCATGGGTTTACCGTCTCTTCTTCTAACATCCAAACAACTGTATTGTCCTCCCTTTCCAGAGCTCAGTACTCAGCCTTCTGTATCTCAGTTAAGCCATGGCTTGCAATTCCTAGGAGAGGTTTCCAATTTTACCTTCTCCTTCAGCTTTGCTCTCTTTCTTTCAAGCACAGAAGCAGCACTCTGACACTCTATTCAACATGGCAGTGTTCACAGTGGATTCTAAAAACCGCCATCTTACTTCATGTAAAATGGAGCGTCTCCTTCACTGCATACCTTCCATGTGACCCTTGTTAGCCAGTCACATGAGAGCTCTAGAATTCAGTTACCAACCAATCAAATTTAAACACATAGTAATGCATACAAACATTTAAAATTTCAGTGAATTAAATTACTATACTTAACACTGAGAGGCGCTGGAACTGAGTTCCAGTGATTTCTGGCTGAAAAAAGGCCCTGCCTGGGAGTGCTTTAATGAGGGCAAGGACGCTCTTGCCTCTGCCACTTGCAGGAGGCCTAAGGGCCAAACAAGGTAAAGGTGAAGGTAAAGGGCCCCTGACCGTTAGGTCCAGTCGTGGCCGACTCTGGGGTTGCGGCACTCATCTTGCTTTATTGGCCAAGGGAGCCAGCGTACAGCTTCCAGGTCATGTGGCCAGCATGACTAAGCCGCTTCTGGCGAACCAGAGCAGCGCACGGAAACGCCGTTTACCTTCCCACCGGAGCGGTACCTATTTATCTACTTGCACTTTGACGTGCTTTCGAACTGCTAGGTTGGCAGGAGCAGGGACCGAGCAACGGGAGCTCACCCCATCGTGGGGATTCGAAGCGCCGACCTTCTGATTGGCAAGTCCTAGGGCCAAATAAGATGTGATGCTAATTGCCTAAATGGGAATGCATTTTTTAGAAATGTAAATTGTAGTTGTGAAGCAGCCTTGAGAGCATTGGGTGTGTGTGGGGGGGGTGAGGTAAGTTGAGGGGGCTAATCCAGACCTTCTGTGCCACAGTCCCAACAAAAATTATGTGCAAATTGAATTCACACAGTCAATGCCATATCTAGTTTGGCTGTAAGGGGCAGAAGGTAGCTGCACTGTTTATAGCAAAGCAAGGACAATGGCAAGAAAAAACGAACTTGGCCATTGCTCACCACTTTGGGCTGTGGTTTATCAAACTGGTATTCATCCTCTGCAGTTTCCCTTCATACATGTTCCCTTCAGGGAACCTTAGTCTACAGCAGGGGCACCAATTTCACGAGGCTATTGGAAGGTTACCTACAAAGGAATGAGGCCTGTGTGCTTAAAAATATCCCCTACATTAGGTTTATGGTGTGGCCTTGTCCTGGTATCATCACAGATGAAGAGTGGGTTAAAATAACATTTTGGAAAGCCTCAGAATTGTGGGAGCAACTCAGCAGCGATTTACTAATTTTATGCTTTTAATAATAAGCAGAAAAGTAAACCGCTACTGAATTGCACCCACAATTGTAAGGCTTTCATTGCCAAAATGTTATCATTGGCTATGCACTACCTGTGATGTCACAAAAGCACATGGCAGCTGATTGGATATAAAGGTGGGCCTTTTCTTCTTCAACAGAACGCAGTGGGTAACCGCTGTGACATTCAGCATTGCTCAGTCTTCTTCCACCTTCAGGAGGCAAACTGGCAGACAAACGGAGGTGACCATCTATCTGGGGGATGCTATGGAGCACTAATAAGGTAAATTCATTTCCTGAGCAGGATTGCAACTTGAAAGCAGCTGGTGTCCATGGTGGGAAGCTGGCCAATGTCTAGTGATGGACCTACTGGAAGGTGGCAGATGTTGGTGGATGGAAGCTGGTGGAGGTTGCATTTAGAAACTGATAAATTCTTCAAGGCTGAAATAGGCTGGTGTTTGTGGATGGAAGCTAGTTGAAACTCACCTTTGGAAGCTGGTGGATATTTGGGGATTGAAGGCTGGTAATGAATGGAGAGGCAAGAATTAAATTGCCTGTTGGTGTTCTTCATAGATGTTGGCTGGCGTACGCCTGTGGGAGATTTCAAACGGTGTTTGTATGTGTATGAATATGATATGTGAAAGGAAACAAGTGGATATTTATGAATAGATAGAGACTGTGAAAGTGGGCAGGATGATGTTAGTGGATGAAGTCTCCAGGCTGAAGCCGGTGGAGGCAGCTGGGTGATGTTGTTGGATGGTAGTTTCTGTCAGGAGATCAGCCTACACTCGAGTAGGACCCTGGCAGAGACACATGCCCAGCTGGCATGTTCTCTCCCTCTTGGTTGATTGTTTGGGAGCTTCATAAGCTTTCTTCAGCCCGAACATCACTGCGACTGATGCCAACCGACACCGGCACACTTAGGGACCCTCAGAGTTTGCGCAGCTTGCGTGACAGACCTCCGCAACTCAGCATTTTGGCTAATCTACTTTATTTACATATAAACACACACGGAGCACTGCAACATGGCTCCCTCTCTAGCATCAGACAGCAAAGAGAAAAAGAACAAAGGACAATAGTCCCACTTCATGGAACTCAGTAACACAAACATCCTGTCTCCGTCACTTCCCACTCTGTGGAGTCAAAACACATACCGTCATGTGAAAGACAAAAATCCCATGACTGCAGTCATGGAGCAGGAATTCTAACAGTCTCCCCCCTCAATATCTGTGCATTTCCCAGCAAGGGACATCTGAAGTTGGTGAGATTTTCTCAAGACCACCCCGAAAGCAAATAAGTGAATTGCAGCACTTGAGCGAGTCAGGTTATATTTCTCAACAAATGGCTTTCTAAATACACCTAGCTGTAGCATCCACTCTTATCTTTTTCTTCAAAGACAGATAATGGAAGATGAAATGCCTGAGCTTTATGGTGTGCCTCATACCAGTACACAGGTGGGGTGAGTGAGAAATACCATATTTTTTGCTCTATAGAACACACTTTTTCCCCTCCAAAAATTAAGGGGAAATGTGTGTGCGTCCTATGGAGCGAATGCAGGCTCCTTGGCTTCAGCGATAGCAACGTGAAGCCTCCAAAGCGCAGAGGGAGAGCTCCTCTGCGCTCCGGAGCTTCACGTTGCTTCGCTGAAGCCTGGAGAGCGAGCGGGGTCGGTGCGCACCGACCCCTCTCGCTCTCCAGACTTCAGGGATAGCCGCCTGAAGCCTGTGGAGCGCAATGCGAGTTCCCACTGTGTTCCGCAGGCTTCAGGTTCCCTTTGTTGAAGCCAGGAGAGCAAGACTCTCCTACCTTCAGCAGAGAGGGAGAGCTGCGCAGCGCCCCTTCAGCCAAGCGGGAGGAGAAATGGAGCCCCTTCCATTTCTCCTCCCGCTTGGCTGAAGGGGCGCTGAGCAGAGAGGGGGAGATTTTTTTTTCTTGTTCTCCCCATCTAAAACAAGGTGCGTCCTATGGTCCAGTGCGTCCTATAGTGTAGCCTTATGAGGCTTTGCCCTCGGGTGGGAAAAATATTGCACCCGGGAAAGGGAAAATGGGAGTCAACAGACACTCAAGGAATAGTTTCGGAGAAAAGGCTTTATTTCTACCATCCATGAACTGGTAGAAGGAGCAAGTGTGATAGTTCACAAAAGGCATGCACGGGTTCACAGTCATGTGCACAGAGCATATATACCCCTTCCAGTTCCCTCCCCCTTTCTCTTCCTTCTTCCAGAGTCCTGCCTATGAGTTCCTCTGAGCATGAACAGAAAGCTGTCTTGGGACTATTGGACTCTTGGCACCCCTCCCAGGAAAGGGGAGTGAGAGCCAAGGGGTCGAGGAGACCTGGAGGTTCAGCATGTCCAAGATGTTGCAACTGCATGAGAGAAAAGTCAGTTCTCAGGCCTGCTTTGAACAGAGTCTATTCATTAGCTTTTTGAAGCCGCCTTGTACTGATAAAAAGTAACGGTTTGCCTATGCACATCATCTTGTGAGAAAAAGCAGAGGAAAGCTTTAGCTGTGGATTTTTTAGAAGACAAAAGGAATTTTGGACAGCTTTGAGGCCTGGGGTGATTATTGAGTGTGGGGGGGTGACTTCGGGCCTAGGTGGGGTCACCTGTCCTCACCTCCTACAATAGAGTGAAAAATATGGTAATAAACAAATTTGTGCTGAGGTGCCCCACAACTGTCTGGCCTGGGGAGGTTGTTCTGATGTCTCTCCAGCTGTTGCCATTGGCTGCCATCTGCCTGTGATGTCACAAAAGGACACTGTGGCTGAGGGGAAACAGTGATGTGACATCTGAGGTGCTCCTGACTTGGCAACTCTATTTCCACCTGTGTCTTGGATTTTTAGTTCATAGGCCTGAGGACAGAACTTATGGCTCTCTTGGACTGATGAGGATCACTTTGGGAGACTATATTTGCCTGTCAGGTGGGATAAGCCTACAACAGAATACGTTAAATGGACAAAAATGGTTTTCGCATGCTGCAGAAAGCGCTGAAACAGCAAGTATATTCATACTGCTTATGGGGACATGCATGTGTTCCACATAAGGGGACGGAACATTTTTTAATTGCTTTTATTTTTATCTATGTCATTTTAAATTGTGATTGATATTAATACTGTATTCATAGTTTTAGATTTTATGATTTATGTGGAAATTGTTTTCCATTTGGTTCTATACTTTTTGATGTGTTTTATTTATTATGTTGGTAAATATGTAAATCTTGTCATGTTGTAAGCCGCCTTGAGCATTGTTTTAACTATGGAATGACGTTATACAAATAAAATGATGTTGATGATGATGATCTATTTATAAGGACCCTTTCTCCATTCAAGAAAATGAAATTCACAAACAAGTTAATTGGTGATGGAAAGGTGATGGTTTATTAACACCTTTTAGCTAAATTGATTATCAGGGCTGGATTTAGGTTGATGAGGCCCTAAGCTACTGAAGGTAATGGGGCCCTTTATATGTATTTTATCAAAGTAATTGTTGAACTGAAATACAATTAAGAAGATGTATATTAATAGTGAAATAAAATTAAGAAGAAGTATATTAATCGTGATAGTGATATTTTAGGGAGGAGGCTAGCAGGCGGGGCCCATTACTTACATCATAGGAGCCTACACAACACAAAACACTCTTGCTGGATGTAGGTTTTATTTTATTTGTTTTTTATCTTATATTTTGGAAATGTGCATCCAGGTTTTTTTCTTTATTATTTTGGGGGGGGGCCAGGAGAGTGGAGCCCTAAGCTATAGCTTGTTTAGCTTATACGTAAATCTGGCACTGTTGATTGTCTATGTTCAGAAGTGTGCGTTTCAATACATAAGGATGGGGTCTGCTTTCCAGTCCTGTCCTGCTTGTGAGCCAAAGGCATTTGCCTCACTATTTTGGAATCAGAAAACTGGGGCAGGTGGTCCTTGATCTTATTCAGCAAGGTAAGTTATGTTGTCCTAAAACCTGTGCATTGACTGATGCAGTATATGCTTTGGTGTTGTTTAGTCGTTTAGTCGTGTCTGACTCTTCGTGACCCCATGGACCAGAGCACGCCAGGCACTCCTATCTTCCACTGCCTCCCACAGTTTGGTCAAACTCATGCTGGTAGCTTCGAGAACACTATCCAGCCATCTCGTCCTCTGTCGTCCCCTTCTCCTTGTGCCCTCCATCTTTCCCAACATCAGGGTCTTTTCCAGGGAGTCTTCTCTTCTCATGAGGTGGGCAAAGTATTGGAGCCTCAGCTTCAGGATCTGTCCTTCCAGTGAGCACTCAGGGCTGATTTCCTTAAGAATGGATAGGTTTGATCTTCTTGCAGTCCATGGGACTCTCAAGAGTCTCCTCCAGCACCATAATTCAAAAGCATCAATTCTTCGGCGATCAGCCTTCTTTATGGTTCAGCTCTCACTTCCATACATCACTACTGGGAAAACCATAGCTTTAACTATACAGACCTTTGTTGGCAAGGTGATGTCTCTGCTTTTTAAGGTGCTGTCCAGGCTTATGGACTGTCTGGCTTCTGTTTAGTTCAGGGTTGAGTCAAGCAGTACCTAGTGCATCTATATCTGATCATTTGTTCTTCTCAGCCTGCCACCACGTTTCCTTGCATTTCTTCGTATCTGCTAATACTCCCCAAGCAATATGCGACAGAGTTTGATTTCAGTGGATCTCGCTGGGTCTTCCATTTCTCGTTAAAAATAAATAAATTTGTGGTTACGGTTTTATATTTATACTTGGCCATCAACAATGACTGTGTGTGTAATTTCAATCAGACTCAGCTGCATATTTTTCCATTTTAATTCTGGAACACAAATAGTGCTTTCAGTCTGCAAATATTTATTGGGGAAACGATGTAATGTATAAATGTATTCATATTTCAAAATGTACCTGCCATTGTTTTCCCATTGTGTTTGTGATTCTGTGCTATTGTTCCATTCACAGTGCAATACAATGGTACCTTGGTTCTCAAACGCCTTGGAACTCAAACGCCTTGGTTCTCAAATGCCAAAAACCCGGAAGTAAGTGTTCTGGTTTTCAAACATTTCTGAAGCTGAACATCCGATGCGGCTGTCGGCTATTGTTGATGGCGCACGTGCACCAATCAGAAGCTGCTCCTTGGTTTTTGAACATTTCAAAAGTAAATGGACTTCCAGAACAGATTAAGTTTGGCGCTCTTGTTTTTGTTATTTATTTTGCATTTTTGTTTTTGATGCTTTTTTTAGTTAATTTGTTTTTGTGACTGTGTGGAACCCAGTTCAGCTACTGATGGATTAATTGTGTGACTATGGAAATGGATAAACGCCCCCCATCCAAACAACGACTATCATCAGTGCAGGTAAGAAAAAAATATTAATTTACATTTTGATCATCTACAATACTGTCTTATTTATTTTATAGTACAGCACATTGATTATTGCTTTCATTTTGTGGATCAATGGTCTTGTTAGATAGTAAGATTCATGTTAAATTGCTGTTTTAGGGGTTGTTTTTAAAAGTCTGGAACGGATTAATCCATTTTGCATTACTTTCTATGGGAAAGTGTGCCTTGGTATTGGAACGCTTTGGTTTTGGAACAGACTTCCGGAACGGATTAAGTTTGAGAACCAAGGTACCACTGTACTAGTGTTAGGGACTGACAGCATGTGGAAGAGTGGTGGGAGTCGCCTGCCCAAGAGCCGCTCAGGGAGGACACAGAAGATGACGACTTAGATCCCCGATCCTGGTGGTAGGACATTGAGGAGCAATAAATCTTCTTCCCTCAAAGATCTGATGAGACAATGCACTGGATAGTGTACGACTAAAACTTGTTTGATGCAAGGTCATGTGACCTCCCTGCAAACAAATCAGAATGAATGCTCATTAAATTGCCAACATTGTCTAGTTTCCCTGCAAACAGACAAGGATGGATGCTCAATAAACAGGTTGACTGGTAGAACCCACTATAGTCAACAGAGCTTCCCCACCCTCCGCTGACTGTAGCCTGTGCAGTTTTTATGCAAGCCTATTCCAAAGAAGTCCCAGTGAATTAAATATGTCTTTGTTGTTTAGTCGTTTAGTCGTGTCCGACTCTTCATGACCCCCTGGACCAGAGCACGCCAGGCACTTCTTCTTCCACTGTCTCCCGCAGTTTGGTCAGACTCATGTTTGTAGCTTCGAGAACACTGTCCAACCATCTCGTCCTCTGTCGTCTCCTGCTCCTTGTGCCCTCCATCTTTCCCAACATCAGGGTCTTTTCCAGGGAGTCTTCTCTTCTCATGAGGTGGCCAAAGTATTGGAGCCTCAGCTTCAGGATCTGTCCTTCCAGTGAGCACTCAGGGCTGATTTCTTTAAGAATGGATAGGTTTGATTTTCTTGCAGTCCATGGGACTCTCAGGAGTCTCCTCCAGCACCAAATATGTCTTACCTTCACGTAAATGTGAGTAATATTGCAGGCTAAGGAAATACTGTATGTACTTACCTGGGGAATAAGTCCTATTGAACTCCATGGGACTTCTTTTCTGAGTAGATATTCTACAGGATCACACTGTAAGTCACTGTTAGACATTGTCTGGGGTTGCATCGTAAGTCGCTCTTTGTTTTTTGATCCTGAATTAGCCAAATGTATGACCCAAGCCAAGTGGGGATCACATTGTGAACCTGGTGCCATTGTAAGAGAGGCAACTCCCCATTTATGGAGGGGTTAAATTCCAAGGCACCGCATGTGTCACCTTTCATAGCCAAAATGTTATCATTGGCTATGAACTACCTGTGATGTCACAAAAACACATGGCATCTGATTGGATATAAAGGTGGGTTGTACTAATTGGACCAGTTCCATTTATCTGTGGTGGTATTGCTGAGGGGAAGCAAAGCCAATTGAGAGAGATGGCACAAGAGCTGTGCTTTTTTCTGGTGGGGACGCAGGGGTACGCATACCCCTAAACATTTTGTGAATCTAATGGGAGAATATTTTTTTTTAAAATGTTAGTTTCTTCTCTAGCACCGTGAATTGTCAGTTCTGTTGCTACCTCTGCCTCATTTCCTGTCACAGTGTTTCCCATGTCTCAGGCTGAAGCGAGCGTTTAATGTGTGAAGCAGTGTGGAATGTGGATGTGTGGTGTTTTACTGATGAAAGTTTGGCCTTGTTGAGGGGCAGTATTTCAATATGAGCAGGAAAATGTTAGTGCACACAACCTCATGCCAATGTGGAAGTTACTGTGAGCTGTCAGCTGTGTAATATGAGGTAATGCATGTTCTTTGTGCTTTTGTCCTTTTACTGTATTTATTTCCCTTGATTTGAACTATAAAATGGTGTTTTTCTTGAGTCAAAATGAGAGTACCCGTAAACATTTTTTTTTTGAAAACAAGCACTGCACGACAGCAATGTTAACAAGAATGTATGTATTGATTTAGAAGTTTTAAAAGATGCCTTTCAGAGCACATTGCCCTCACAAATAGGGAAAGATGTTTGCAGGCATTGCTGGAAAATCATCAAAAAGGGAAAGATCCATTTCAATGCTGCAACTCGCTTTTTTCCGTTGTTTTTTTTTAACAATTTAGCCCTAATTTCGGTGTAGCCCTAATTTTCAATGCTTTTTCCCCTCGACATGAAGAATATCTGGGAAAATTCGTATAATTGCTTAAAATACAGTGGTACCTCGGGTTAAGAACTTAATTCGTTCTGGAGGTCTGTTCTTAACCTGAAACTGTTCTTAACCTGAAACACCACTTTAGCTTAATGGGGCTTTCCTCTGCCACCGCGCCGCCACCGCACGATTTCTGTTCTCATCCTGAAGCAAAGTTCTTAACCCGAGGTACTATTTCTGTGTTAGCGGAGTCTGTAACCTGAAGCGTCAGTAACCTGAGGTACCACTGTATAGATCAATTCTCTAGACAAAGGCAATCGCTGTGAAGGCAAATATTTGCATGTATTTTTGGATTTTAGAGAAAAGCCAGTCACACCAATGGCTATTGCCTCCTCTGCTGTATTACCTTAATGATAATCTGCAATGGCTTGGTATTAAAAAAAATTGCACTCTGGAATTAAAACAGCTGTGCAGCGATGCACAGAATGAGCACTGAAATGTGAAAATTAAACTGTAAGCTTTTACAGAAAGTGGATTTTGCTAAACCCTGGCAAGCTGCAGGTGAGTACAAATGGCTCTACTCCCCTCTCACAAACAAATATTTGAATGCACTTAACACTTAATTGCTGACTTTGTTCCACTTTCACAGAGTATGCTCATGACTATTCTGAAACAGGCTCAGAACCAGTACCAAGTGACTATTGCTTGGCTCCGGACTTCCCGTCGTATTCACCGTATTTTTCGCTTTATAGGATGCACCCGACCATAGGACGCACCTTGTTTTAGAGGGGGAGAACAAGGGAAAAAAATTCTCCCCCTCTCTGCTCAGCGCCCCTTCAGCAAAGCGGCAGGAGAAACGGAGCCCGAGCTTGTGGGGCTGGTGGTGGGGGGAAGCGCTGCTTTCCCCCACTGCCAGCCTCAAAGATCCCTGAAGCCTTTGGAGCGCAGCGGGAACTGGCGCTGCGCTCCGATGGCTTCAGGCGGCCATCCCTGAAGCCTGGAGAGCGAGAGCGATTGGTGCGCACCGACCCCTCTCGATCTCCAGGCTTCAGCAAAAGCAACACGAAGCCTCCAAAGTGCAGAGGGAGCGCTCCCTCTGCGCTTCGGAGGCTTTGCGTTGCTATTGCTGAAGCCAAGGAGCCTGCATTTGCTGCATAGGATGCACACACATTTCCCCTTAATTTCTGGAGGGGAAAAAGTGCGTCCTATAGAGCGAAAAATACAGTACTTCCTTACTTCATTTTATTTGTATGTGCCTTTCCGGAATTCAAAGCATGCTCAAGGCAGCTTACAAAATGAAAACAAAACAAAGAAGTACCGTATTTTTCCGTGTATAAAATGCCTCCTATTTTGGGGAACTCCAAATTAAGAAAATGGGGGCGGGGGAGATTGCCCAGAGTTGTTGAGCTTATTTTAGGGGGGATTGCAGAAAATCGCTCACCCGCACACATCGCAAAAGCCACCTATTGTCTGTCCCCTTGCCAGCAGAAGCGGCCAATTGCCCGCCCAATTGTTGCAGCAACAGCCAATCACACCAGCCCTTCCACAACCACCAATAACACGCCCAATAGCCGCTGACAATCTCTGACTCATGGCAGCAACCAATCACACATCCTCCCTATGCACTATCCATGTATAAGACGATCCCCAGTTTTTAACATAATTTTTAAATAAAAAAACCTCGTCTTGTATACGGAAAAGTATGGGAGTTACAAACGTAACCAAAAGTAGTCATCCAAAAGTAGATCAAAAAGCACACAACCAAACTGAATTATTTGCACATAAATCACGAGATCTAAAATAAAGATACAAACCATAATATCAATAACAGCAGCAACCCACCCCTCAATACCCCCACCCCTAAAGAACACCCCAGCCCAAATTCATGTAGAAAGAATTTCAGATGTATAATGAACTGATCAATGCTATCCGTTGCTCAACAGATGGGGTATATGAATAATAATAATAATAATAATAATAATAATAATAATAATAATATATTATTTATACCCCGCCCCTCTTGCTGAGTTTTCCCAGCCACTCTGGGCGGCTTCCAATCAAGTGTTAAAAACAATACAGCATTAAATATTAAAAACTTCCCTAAACAGGGCTGCCTTCAGATGTCTTATAAAGAGAAGATAGCTGCTTATTTCCTTCACATCTGAAGGGAGGATGTTCCACAGGGCGGGCGCCACTACCGAGAAGGCCCTCTGTCTGGTTCCCTGTAACCTCACTTCTCGCATTGAGGGAACCGCCAGAAGGCCCTCGGCACTGGATCTCAGTGTCTGGGCTGAACGATGAGGGTGGAGACGCTCCTTCAGGTATACAGGACAGAGGCCGTTTAGGGCTTTAAAGGTCAGCACCAACACTTTGAATTGTGCTTGGAAACGTACTGGGATGTTTTCTGCAGTTACATCAAACATGACGGGCAAGAAGCACATCTCTAAATACCTAAGGCCAAGCAGTGGAACCTAAGGTTGACTAGAGATCACATCCACTGCATATTTACAAGGGGTATCACATAATTGTAGAGTTGGAAGAGACCCTGAGGATCACCTAGTCCGTGGGTAGGCAAACTAAGGCCCGGGGGCCGGATCCGGCCCAATCGCCTTCTAAATCCGGCTCATGGGTGGTCCAGAAATCTGCGTGTTTTTACATGAGTAGAACGTGTGCTTTTGTTTAAAATGCATCTCTGGGTTATTTGTGGGGCATAGGAATTCATTCTCCCCCCCCAAAAAAATAGTCTGGCCCTCAACAAGGTCTGAGGGACAGTGGACTGGTCCCCTGCTGAAAAAGTTTGCTGACCCTTGAGTCCAACCCCCTGCAATGGAGGACTATGCAGCTGTCCTTACGGGGATCGAACCTGCAATCTTGGCGTTGTCATCACCAACCTCTAATCAACTGAAGTATATTATAAAGGTAAAGGTAAAGGGACCCCTGACCATTAGGTCCAGTCGTGGCCGACTCTGGGGTTGCAGTGCTCATCTCGCTTTATTGGCCGAGGGAGCCGGCTTACAGCTTCCGGGTCCTGTGGCCAGCATGACTAAGCCACTTCTGGTGAACCAGAGCAGTGCACGGAAACACCGTTTACCTTCCCGCCGGAGTGGTACCTATTTATCTACTTGCACTTTGACGTGCTTTCGAACATTATAGTGGATATGATATATTTAAAATGGAAGGAAACGAACAGAAACAATGAAAACTTGGTGTGCGTAAGGCACTAACATGAAATGTATCCTGTATTTTAAATCAGTCTTGCAAAGCAGATAGAATAGTAGGCATTATGATAAAAAATATCTTATTAATTACGTCTGCCTTCCCTGGGTGAGTGTGCTATCACAGTGATGGTTCTTGTGAGTGGTCAGTGATGTGCTACAGCATAATCCTAACCTTGTCTACCCAGAAGTAAGTCCAATTGAATTCTTTTGGGCTTTGAGGTAACTAGGGCTAGGATTCCACCCTCAGTTCCTCCCCTTCTTCCATTTAACTTTATGACAGCGACGGCATACTTCGGAGGGTTAAAAAGAAGCCTCTTACATATTCTTGGCTACAAAACAAAGTGGATTACCAGTGTCCAATGCAAAAATACTGCTCAAATAAGATGGGCGGCAAAAAATGACCATCTGTCATATATTATTTTAGTGTTAACCTCTGCCTCATAAAGTAAGCTCTCCTCATGTCTCCCGTTGCAATGTAGAACTATTTTCAATTCTCTTCATGCCCTCTGGGCATCAGCATGATTTGGAAACCTAATAAAGAAAGTCATCAAAGAACAACTCATGTGCCCAGAATTTGTATTACTACACTACGGGGAACCCAAGTGGTGTGTTATCCTTTGACCATATGTCTTCTAAATCTCCATTTATTGCCAGAAAATCAATACGGTCTTTTTTTTCTAGTAGAAAGTTCCACTAGACATGAAATGCTGTACCAAATAGGCATATTGTGCTGAAGTGCTTTCTCCCAGGAAACATCTGTATAGCTCGCCGTAAAGGTTATTTTTTATTTATTTAGTACTTTTGTATCTTACCTTTCCTCCAAGCTGTTTTAGCCTCTCTACGATTCCACAAGTAGGTTAGGCTATAAGGGTAATATAGTAGTAGTAGTAGTAATAACAACAACAACAATAATAATAATAATAATAATTTATTTATACCCCTCCCTTCCCGGTTCAGAAAACCGTGCTCAGGGTGGCTAACAATAAATTTAAAACACTTAATTGATGCAACAAAAAACAGCATAAAATACAGTATAAAACGTGAATAACAATAAATTCAGAACTCAAAAGTCAATTTAGGGGGGAAATCCATCCAATAAACATTAGATGATCACCAGGGCTAGCTGGCTATATTAGTCCTATTTGGGCCAGCGAGGAGACCATGGGAGAATTAGCTGTGGGTAGGCAATTGTCCAAGGCTACTCAGAGATCCTCATTGAGGAATGAGGTTTTGAAACTTGGTTTCTCACATCCAAACCTAAGACTGCACTCCTATCCCCATTTACCTGGGAGCATTCTCCTTAGAATTCAACCCCAACTCCAGTCCTGGTTAGAAGAGCAACTGCATAGATCCATTATCCACTGTTGGGTTTTGTCGTTTTAAGGCTTAAATGATGTGTGTGCGTTTTGTGAGACTAAAGATGGATAAGGCTAAATTGCAGTTGTATGGATGATATGCAGGACATAAAGAAGGGGATGGAAGAAGTTCACCTCATGGTGAAAAGAATCGTTGGGTGATGTGTCCATGGTCTGAGGTGCGTTGAACCCCCTTCTGCAAGAAGAGAGGGATGCTCTCAGGTGAGAGCTGGGAAGATTCACCTTTTCCTGTATGGGATAAAAGCTAAGATATAGCAGTGACAGAGGATTTTGTAGTTTTCTATCTCTTTTCTTTTCTTCTAGCTTCTTTCTTGCTATTATGTTGTTGTTGTTGTTGTTGTTGTTTAGTTGTTTAGTTGTGTCCAACTCTTTGTGACCCCATGGGCCAGAGCACGCCAGGCACTCCTGTCTTCCATTGCCTCCCGCAGTTTGGTCAAACTCATGCTGGTAGCTTCGAGAACACTATCCAACCATCTCGTCCTCTGTCATCCCCTTCTTCTTGTGCCCTCCATCTTTCCCAACATCAGGGTCTTTTCCAGGGAGTCTTTTCTTCTCATGAGGTGGCCAAAGTATTGTAGCCTCAGCTTCAGGACCTGTCCTTCCAGTGAGCACTCAGGGCTGATTTCCTTAAGAATGGATAGGTTTGATCTTCTTGCAGTCCCTGGGACTCTCAAGAGTCTCCTCCAGCACCATAATTCAAAAGCATCAATTCTTCGGCGTTCAGCCTTCTTTATGGTCCAGCTCTCACTTCCATACATCACTACTGGGAAAACCATAGCTTTAACTATACAGACCTTTGTCAGCAAGGTGATGTCTCTGCTTTTTAAGATGCTGTCTATGTTTGTCATTGCTTTTCTCCCAAGAAGCAGGCGTCTTTTAGTTTCATGACTGCTATTATAGTGGTACCTCTACTGCTGTATCCCTTTGGATACGAAATCTTTGGGTTATGGCCACTGCCAACCTGGAAATGTATACTTTCAGGTTTCACTGCACACACATGTGCCTTGTGCATGCGCAGAAGCGCGCCTCTATTTACATAATTTTCAGGGTTCAAACGGACCCCCAGAATGAATTAAGTTCATATCTGGAGGGTCCACTGTATTCTGTGCGGATTGGTTCGTTTTTTAATTGTATCATGAAAAATTTTGATAACACTTTTCAACCCCCCCATGGGCATAGCTGGGGGGGGGTCAGCTGCCCCCCAATCAATAAAAATAAATAGCCAACTGAGGTCTTGGCCCCCCAACAAAAATCCTGGCTACTCCCATACCCTGCCCCCCCAAGCAATAATTAAGAATTAAAAATGCATCCTTGGGAGCCAGATTCATGAACAGTAAACTGAACTAAGCCACGTGAGCTGTTAGATCAGGATGTCTGTGGGATATGTAACATGGTAGTAGTACTTTGTAATACACCCCCCCAATGAATTTGCCTCCCAGGGTGTATTTGTGCAGAGGGCATCTATAATACTCAAGCATATTTTTGCTGCTCTGAAATGAGCAACTGCTGGGGATGAATGAATAATCCAGCAGGGACAATATTAATTTTAATATAAAAGGGGTTTTCCAGCATCTAATCCCTGTGGAGTAGTTCAGCCTTTAAGAGAAGAATCCGTGACCCGCGCCAGCGATCTTCCAGCTGAACGCCGCAGCTTGATCTCTGACTTTCCAGCTGGATCTCCTCTGCGAAAGAAGAGAGCTCTTTCACACTTGACTCGCCAGACAACTGTGAAATCGCACTGTTCTGAAGGCGCACGTGTTATACAATAGATGTTAAAATGCAAACAATCCCGGGATGATCTCTGGGGCCCAATAATCAGAAGTGCAATTTTGTAAAGGGGAAGATTACGTTCCTCAGTTGCTAGATAAAGTTCGAAAACTCCGTAAGGAATGAGTGATTGAAAAAGAACACCAACTGGGGGGCCTTTGTCCACTTACCACTTATAGTGGTATATTTGCTCTTTGACCTGGCATTTTTAAGTGTGAATTTGTAGCTGATCACCTGTACCTTTGGTCACATGCCGACGTGATTAGAGACTGAGGGCAGAGTCTTCCTTTCCACACTACTGGTGGATTGTGCCCCAAATGAGAAAAGTTATGTGTCTGTAGTCACATCATTTATGTACTCTCACATTCCTCCAGCCAGTAAATGTCAGAGTTGTTGCTGTTGTTTATTTATTTATTAAATTTATATACCACCCACCAAAAGATCTCAAGGTGCTTCACAGAGTAAAATACAACTTAAAACACAAGTAAACAATTAAAGCAAAACAACAAAACGATAACACAGGGATAGCCCCTTGTGCCACCCCTAGTAGCTATAATGGGGGCATTTAAAAATGGCTATAATTGTAACAAATTTCCCTGTTGCCAGAAATGGAGAAAATTTGCAGGCATATTAGTCCCTCCTGTGCTGCTGATGTTTGCCAAATTACCAATTAATAGACACAGGGCTTTTTTCTGCTCCCTCTGCCCAAAGAAACCCTACATAACATTTTTTACTTATTGACAGAATTGGATAAGAATGCTGGATCTAAATTTATGAATTCATAAGGGACTCAAACCAGTATGAAGGACTTTGTGTACAGAATATTCAAGTATTGGTTTGAACTTCCTAAATAATGTTTGTCTTAGAAGAGTATTTTTGTTTTTGTGTTTTTTCCAGTTTTTGTCGTTTTGTTTTGGTTCCCCCTTCTTTTTTCTTTTTCTTTTTTAATGTTATTCTGTTTATCTTAGATCCCTAATTACTTCTACCATGTATTTTGTAACACCAATTTTTATCTTAGAGTATGTAGTTGAGGATCAAATTATTCTTTTTATTCTTTCTTTGTAAATTTTGAAAATGTAATAAAGTTAAAAAAACAACATGCCCCAAGGTAAAAGACTTCTGGGAAAGGATTTATAATGAACTGAAAAAAGTGTTGAAAAACACATTTATTAAGAAACCAGAAGCCTTCTTACTTGGTATAGTGGGGGGAGAAATCCCCCAAAAGGATGTTACTTTTTTTCTGTATGCCACAACAGCTGCGAGAATATTATTAGCGAAAAACTGGAAGAAACAAGATTTACCAACTATAGAAGAATGGCAGATGAAGATGATGGACTACATGGAACTTGCCGAACTGACTGGGAGACTCCGAGACCAGAGAGAAGAGACGGTGGAAGAAGACTGTAAGAAGTTTAAAGAATATTTGAAAAAATGTTAATATTTAAATCTTAGAATAGCTTTGGAAGTGGATATAGGCTGTAGGGTTAGAAGTAGAAGATAGTGTATTTTAAAATAGTATTATTTGTAAGTGATAAAATGTGAAGATTTTTAGGGTAAAAGTAAGTGTGATAAAAAATGGTTAAAATTATGATATATGAAACTGCTAAAGATGAAGTAAAATAAAAATCAGATAGGGGGGACTTGGGGAAGCTCACCTAACAATGTTTAGAAAAAATAAGGATAAGACAAGAATTTGTATTGTTTGTATTTCTGTTTGTATTGTTTATTTATGTTATAACCTGAATAAAAAAAAAATTGGGGGAAAAAAGTTTTTTAAAAAGTTAGATCTGCTGGATCAGACCTGAAATCTAAGGTTAAAGAAAATGTTTGTGAGAACTTTAGAATGAATTTTTGAGAAGGAAAGTTTTGAGATGATTTCCCCTCCCCCTTCATTTGATAAAATATTCTGAAAGCTCCGCTGTGTGGTTAGATTTGCTTTCCAGTATTGTTCAAGATATTAAACTTTCAATATTATCATCTGCATGGGGAGTACAGTGGTACCTCAGGTTAAGTACTTAATTCGTTCCGGAGGTCCGTTCTTAACCTGAAACTGTTCTTAACCTGAAGCACCACTTTAGCTAATGGGGCCTCCTGCTGCTGCTGCGCCGCCGGAGCATGGTTTCTGTTCTCATCCTGAAGCAAAGTTCTTAACCTGAGGTAATATTTCTGGGTTAGCGGAGTCTGTAACCTGAAGCGTATGTAACCTGAAGCGTATGTAACCCGAGGTACCACTGTATTCTACAAAATATACTTGAACACTCTAAACAGCTCTAGGTTCAAGAGGTCCTGAGCGAAGTGTCTTCTGGTAGGACCACTTCTCACCTGGTGAACTCTGGTGAGTTTACCTGGCTCAGTGATGGGTAACAGTGAGCTCTGCTCTAAGTAGAACCAGCTAACTGAGGCCATCTGCCCACTGAATTTCCTACAGTGCCCCTTCAATACATTTTTGGAAACCCAAACGGTGAACAGGCCAAGCCTTCCATCAATTTTTGAATCAGGAGGCTGTAAACACAGCTAAGCTAAGCAGTTGGCTCCTTACCTCTCTCGCCCTGACCTAGCCACTGTGATCCACATGACGGTCACCTCCGGACTGGATTATTATAACTCACTCTACGTGGGGCTGCCCTTGAGACTGACCCAGAAACTCCAGTGGGTGCAGAATGCCGAGTGAGACTCCTTACGGGGTCCTCGCCACAGGATCACATTCACCTGGTGCTATACCAGCTGCACTGGCTCCTGGTGGAGTACAGGATCAGGTTTAAGGTGCTGGTTTTAACCTTCAAAGCCCTATACAGCCTAGGACCCTTGTACCTACGGGACCGCCTCTCCTGGTATGTACCACGGAGGACCTTACGGTCTTCAAATAAATACATCTTGGAGATCCTGGGCCACAGGGAGGTTGGGCTGGCCTCAACCAGAGCCAGGGCTTTTTCGGCAGTGGCCACGATCTGGTGGAACACTCTGTCACAAGAGACCAGGGCCCTGCGGGACTTGACATCTTTCCGCAGGGCCTGCAAGACAGAGCTGTTCCACCAGGCCTTTGGCCAAGGCACAGTCTGACCCCCTCCTTCTGTAAGAACTCTAGCCCAAAGGTTGCCATTAATTTGACTCTGAATTGATTTTAGAATGTATTTCAATTAATTGATTGTGATTTTATGTAAACTGTATTATTTTTTACTGCTGTTACCCTCTCTGAGCCTGGCTTCAGCTGGGGAGGGCGGGATATAAATAAAAAATTATTATTATTATTATTTTTATTATTATTATTAAAGGTGTTCAGGACTGGTGTTGGCAGTGGGTCCTTCTGGAGTTCAGCTGCTCAAGGATGCCAAGTGCTAAGAGAAAATTTAATCAAGATGTTTTATAGATGGGACTGAACACCTGCCAAAATAGCTAAAATGTATAAAGCAAAAGCAAACCTGTGTTGGAGGTGCGGTAAAACAGAAGGGACACTTATACATATCTGGTGCACCTGTGAAAAAATCCAAAGCTTCTGGAATATAGCATATGATGAACTTAAAAAAAAGATTTAAATATAACCTTGTGAAAAATACAGAAGCTTTCCTATTAGGAATAACAGACACAGGTGTAGCAAAAGAAGATTGGAAAATATTCCTTTATGCCACAGGCGCGGCGAGGACCTTAATTGCCAGATATTGAACAAATGCATTTGTGCCAACCAAAAAAGAAAGGCAGGATAAATTATTAGATTATGCTGAACTGGCCAGATTAACAGAGACAATTAGGGGCCGACCCAGACAAGAATGGGGGAAATGCAGAGAATACTTTAGCAAACAGTGCCCCCAAATATATACCTAGACTTGTTTCGATTAATTTTTACAGGAGACTTTGCGGTTTTTAAAGTCATAACTAGGAAAAATTGTAATAATCACATATAAAAGAAACAGTACACAAGAAGTAAATAAGGAGGCCATTTACAGGATAAAGGAAGTCTTTTAATTTTATGTTATGTTTTCTTTATGTAAGGGGTTAGGGGTTTGATTTTGATAATTAAATTGTCAATGGTGGTGGGTTTGTTTGTATGTATGAGTTGTTGTGGATTATGCTGTAAATAAATTATTATTATTATTATTATTTAAAAGAATGCCAAGTATGAATGCTAGCTCTGATACTGAGTTTAAGGTATAGAGAATCACACACTTGGCTTCTGGACAGAGTGGATTTGATTTAAATCAAATTGATTTAAATCACGATTTAAATCACTAGTCAGTAAGACCCATGGGACGCGGGTGGCGCTGTGGGTTAAACCACTGAGCCTAGGACTTGCCGATCAGAAGGTTGGCGGTTCGAATCCCCATGGGGGGGTGAGCTCCTGTTGCTTGGTCCCTGCTCTTGCCAACCTAGCAGTTTGAAAGCACGTCAGAGTGCAAGTAGATAAATAGGTACCGCTCCAGTGGGAAGGTAAACGGCGTTTCCATGCGCTGCTCTGGTTTTCCAGAAGCGGCTTAGTCATGCTGGCCACATGACCCAGAAGCTGTATGCCGGCTCCCTCGGCCAATAAAGCGAGATGAGCGCTGCAACCCCAGAGTCGGCCACGACTGGACCTAATGGTCAGGGGTCCCTTTACCTTTACCTTTAAGACATGATTTAAATCATTCCCCCCCCCGAAAGACTCATTCTTGCTGGTATAATCTTAATATTTACAACCAGAGGAAGGTTTCAATTGTGGAATAATAAATTTTCAGAGTAGTTTTTACAGTTATATGAAAAATTACTGATTTGGTTATACTATTAGAAATACATAGACAGATAATTATGAAATTATGGTGAGGTATAGTAAGTTAACTGTTTATATTTGTACTGTTGTACTTTATTGGAAGGAGAGAAATAATCATTTCCTTAATAACAATTTAAACAATTTATTTAACTAAAACAATAACATTATAGCATATGTATCCATGTTTGTTAAAACTTAAAACAAACCCTTATTTCCTGATGAATAGCCTTTGGACTATAATTTAACTATAATGTAATTTAAGATTATTTAGAAAGGAAGATTTTTCTTCCAAAAGCATTTTATTTTAAAAATCCAATTTAAATCAAAAAAATCTGATTTAAATAGAAAAAAAATCTGTTAAAAAAAATCATTGATTTTTATTCACCCTGCTTCTAGACTTTTGGCAGTAGGTGAGAATGAGGGAACAATTTTTGCCGTTGCAGAATCACAAGGAGAAAAAAAAAAGGGATAACCTCTCTCCACCAATGTAAAACATATGGCTTTGCAGGTCATTTCCGCGAGATCCATAATTAAAGCTTTCTCAGGGGAGATGATGGAGCATTGTAAATCCTGACGGCTGTTTTCTGAATTGTTTTGGCGATCTTTTCATTTCGTTTTAATATTCCTGGGAAATATCATGTCCAAGGTAAGCATGGGACAAATTGTGGGTAGCTAGCTGTCTGCTTATCGGTCTATGGAAAAGGGAAACTTAGCACGGTTGTTTAGAGCTGGGACGGGGTTCAGTCAGAGGTAATTTTAGCCTTACTGCCGATTCCCTTGGGCTGAGGCACCTGCTGCTGTGCATAGTGATTGTGACCCCTTGAATGTGTGCGTGTGTGATTTCTGTAATAGACAACAAAAGAGATTAAGGCCGAGTGAGGTCTAAGAGAGGGCAAGAACCAGAATTTTGAACAGATGGTGTACAGGGACACACTGGCCTGCTGAAAGCCAGGAAGTGCGGAGAAATGGCAGGCAGTAATTAGCAGGAGATGTTAAAAAAAGGAAAGTATCCGTGATCTCCCAGAACATCTGCCGAAAAAGAACAAAAAAGGAGGCTCTCTGACCCTGATCTTAATGAGCATAATAAAAAGATACGGTTTAATGACAAAGTGAGCACTGTGGTGTACAGAATTATAGTGGGTTTTGAAATTATTTATTTGGTTTGGTTTAAGGAGGGGCTGGGCGCAGTATTGAACACGTATATTCAGAATAGGAAGGAAAACACTAGTTGTCTTGTTACAGAACTGATATGTTTTCTTCTTCTTTAAAGTGGGGGAAATATTATCAGCCTATGAATGTTTCCAATGGCTGCACTACAATCTTTCAGGATGTGTAACAATCTTTGCATATTTGGGCTTGAGGAAATAATTTGGTCACAGTTTTGGCATGGGATAGGTTTGCACACAATTCTATCCAAATCAGAAGACTTAAAAAAGCAAATTGCTGGAGGCATCGTTTGCTTGCGATCTGCGAAGGTCAGTCTTAGGGCTGGATAGCAAACAGAAGATAATTGCAGGATTGCATGGAGATTTGTTAGTGTAGTCTAGATGTGTTGAACTCGTTGACAGTCTCTCATCAAAGTAATGTGGAAAACCACAGTTATGGTAATAGTTAAAAATACATCGGCTCACAATAAGCTAGTAGTTATTATATTTTAGTCCCGCCCCCCCACAAAAATGGGTTGATAGCACTACATAAACTACTGTTGAGCAATATTAAACAGTGAGCTGTAAGAACATTAGGCTCCATTTGTTTGCTAGAGGAAGTTAGATGAATCGGTGAGGTAAGCATTCTACTAAAGACAATTCTTAACTCCTAGGCAGTGCTTTTTTTCAGCTGGCACATCTCAGGTCGGCGCCATTGTGGGCTGGTGCTCCCCTTGCCTGCTTCTTGCATTTATGTACTTCTGAGAAGGCCAGAACGAACATTTCAAGTCAAAACAGAAGCTGGCCAGCATGTGTGAGTCTTCACTTTTCCCCCTAGATCCTAGCTGCTCCTAACCACGATTAGTCAAGCCTCGGGGCAGGGCCAATTCGTATTATTATTATTTTTCAAATTTTTTATTAGTTTTCCAAATTTATAACAAACAGATAGAAAAAATAAAATAAAAAACACACAAACCAATAAACCAACAAACATTTATCCTGATTATAGTAATTCCACTTTTGTTAACATTGTTAGGTGACTTCCTCGAATCCCCCTGGCTGAGTTTTATATGGAAACAGTTGTAACAGTTTTCCAAAACTTTTTTCACATAACATTTACTTGGTCAATTAACATCTTTCTTTCTTTTCATTTTTAACTTTAACATAGTATTTTACACATCACATTTTCAAATCCTAGGCCTATTTGGTACTCGCTAGTAATTCTATTTATATTCTCTTAAGATATTTAGCTAAATAGTCTTTGAATTTCTTCCACTCCTCTTGGTGCTCCTCCTCCCTCTGGTCATGGACTTTTCCGGTCAGGTAGGCTAGCTCCCCAAAATCCATCATCTTCATCCGCCATTCCTCCACTGTTGGTACTTCTTGTAGTTTCCAGTTTTTAGCCAGCAAAATTCTAGCTGCAGTTGTGGCATACAAAAACAATCTAACATCTTTTTTAGGCCATTCCAAACCTATTATTCCAAGTAGAAAGGCTTCTGGTTTCTTAATAAATGTATATTTTAACATTTTTTCCAATTCATTGTATATCTTTTCCCAGAAGTCTTTCACCTTGGGGCAGGTCCACCATATATGATAAAAGGTACCTTCTTTTTCTTTACATTTTCAACATAGATTATCAGTTTTATGGTAGATCTTTGCTAATTTTACAGGGGTTAAGTACTATCCATACATCATTTTCATAACGTCCAATTTGTATTTTCTTTTCTTCTGTCTCCCTTGTAGCAGTGAAAGTCTTTAAGCTTTTCAGTCAGGTCCCTATTATTGCACTAGCCATCTTCCTGAAGAGAACGAGGGAGGTGGGGTCACATTTATCTGACCTGTATCATAACCAGGGACAACCTCCAAACCAGTAAGGGAGACAACTTGCTGTAGCTTTTAGCGCCTCCTGGGTGGTGAACACTGTTGTCAAACTAGAATCTGTTCAGGGCTTCCCCGAGTTGCCTGGCGACTTACTGTAACAACTTCATTTGGGTCCTCTACCCTGGGAATATAAAGGATCTGCTCCCTGATCTCTGGGACATGTGATCTGGGGCTGATGGGAACTGAAGTCCAACAACATCTGGAATCCCATAGGGTTCCCAACCATGCCTTAAGGCAGGCATGACCAAACTTGGCCCTCCAGCTGTTTTGGGACTACAACTCCCATCATCCCTAGCTAACGGGACCAGTGGTCAGGGATGATGGGAACTGTAGTCCCAAAACAGCTGGAGGGCCAAGTTTAGCCATGCCTGCCTTAAGGAAATGAAGTACAGTGGTACATCGGGTTAAGAACTTAATTTGTTCTGGAGGTCCGATCTTAACCTGAAACTGTTCTTAACCTGAAGCACCACTTTAGCTAATGGGGCCCCTCATTGCTGCCGCACAATTTCTGTTCTCACCCTGAAGCAAAGTTCTTAACCCGAGGTACTATTTCTGGGTTAGCAGAGTCTGTAACCTGAAGCGTCTGTAACCTGAAGCGTCTGTAACCTGAGGTACCTCTGTACATATTTCACACACCCAATCCGTACTGCTTTGTTGCTTTCCCTGGATATCAGAGGATGGCTCTCACTGCAACATCAGCAACACAGTTATCAGCAACACACAACAGATCCTTCTCAAGTCATCAATGATGATGAGTTACATGACTTCCCCACCATTCCTCCCCTGTGTTGAGCAGGTCAGGGGACTTCCTGGCTCTGCTTCCTCCCCCCCCCTCTCTCTCTCCCTCCCTTGCTGAATGCAACTGGAAGCACAATGAGATAAACTGCTTCTGGCAGCATAATGAAATGAAGTGGACCTTTGACCTAGAGAAGACCGGGAGAGACATATGGGGTCATTGAATTTCCTTTCCTTTCATCCTCACTTGGACATCCTGCTCACCTGACGCAAATCAGCGGATTTAAACGTTCTCCTGCATGCTCACACCAGGCTTTCCTTAGCTGGTCCATTTATAGTCTTTGCGAAAGACTATCGAATTTCAGTGAAAGGATGGAGGAGAATTAACTCTAATTAGGAGAGACTGGGTTAGTGAGCCTAAGACCACCCTCTCCTCCAAATCCCACAAAGAGACAGATCTCTCACAGTGATGAAGGAAATGCTGTGATCGTCTGTGCTCCAGAGGCCCAACTTGTTTTAACTAGAAGCCAGGGATTCAGTCTCGTTGCTCCCATGCTGTGGACCCCTCTTCCAGCAAAGATTCAACAGGCATCCTCACAATTGTCTCTTGAAGACCGTTGTTTGCCAACAGGCCTATGAAGCTGTTTAAGCTTTGGCAAGAAGAGCGGGTTGCATTTATGATTTTTTTATATATTTGTATTGTACTTGCATGGGACGCGGGTGGCGCTGTGGGTTAAACCACAGAGCCTAGGACTTGCTGATCAGAAGATCGGCGGTTCGAATCCCCACGACGGGTTGAGCTCCCGTTGCTCGGTCCCTGCTCCTGCACGTCAAAGTGCAAGTAGATAAATAGGTACCTCTCCGGCAGGAAGGTAAATGGCGTTTCTGTGCACTGCTCAAGTTCGCCAGAAGCGGCTTAGTCATGCTGGCCACATGACCCGGAAGCTGTACGCCGGCTCCCTCGGCCAATAAAGCGAGATGAGCGCCGCAACCCCAGAGTTGATCACGACTGGACCTAATGGTCAGGGGTCCCTTTACCTTTACCTATTGTACTTGGATAGTTTCTATATGCCGCTTTGATAGTTTCAGGAAGGGTCGGTCTGTATATATTAATAACAACAACAACAATTTTATTATTTGTACCTTGCTCATCTGCCTGTGCTGCTTCAGATGTCTTCTAAAAGTTGTGTGGTTCTTTATTTCCTTGACATCTGATGGGAAGGCGTTCCACAGGGTGGGCGCCACTGCCAAGAAGGCCCTCTGCCTGGTTCCCTGTAACTTCACTTCTCGCTGTGAGTGAACCGCCAGAAGGCCCTCGGAAGTGGTCCAAAATGAACAATGGGACAATAAATAGATAATTGTCAAACCCTTTTTGTTTGTTTGTATAATCCCTCCAGATTTGTGTTTTTACAATCACACGTTTTGATAAGGAATGCCTGATGAATATAGATGATATTCACCTAAGTCAGGCTTCCTCAACCAGATGTTTTGAGACTACAATTCCCATCATCCCTGACCACTGGTCCTGCTAGCTAGGGATCATGGGAGTTGTAGGCCAAAAACATCTGGAGGGCAGAGGTTCAGGAAGGCTACCCTAAGGTATACTCAGAGAAGGCCCATAGGAATTTACGAACATGACTCAGTTAAGCCCATTAATTTCAACAGATCTGAGCAAGACTTAGTTGAATCTGTAATGTTTATGAACCCTGACATGAACTGCCGTGGACCTGCATTTTTCAGGCTAATGTGCAGAGTGGACCATCATTATTCACCAGCTTTCGCACTTCCTGAATATTTCAGTGCAGATCTCAGCTCAAAAAGAAATGTCAAAATACATTTTAAGATGTCCTAAACTGCCCCACCACTACTAAAGATGTAATAAAGATGCAGGTGGCTTCACCATCAGCCATCTTTAGTGCCCCCCCACTTTGCTCTGATAAAGAGCTCTGGAGAACTTGAAAGCTTGCCCATATTTTGTGCCACTTTGGTTGACCTAATAAATATTGCCCTACTGTGGATTTGTAAATTTTAAAAAATGGCATTTTAAAATAGAAATGGGTATTTTGAAAGAAAAGCTGTTTTTTAAAAAAATTACACATTAAAATGTGAATTTTTGCCTGAATTAAAATAATTCAGATTAATGTGGAAATGAGTGAATGTATGTGGAAGCGAGATGTCATAGAAATAGACTGATTTGCCCATCCATAGTTTCATCTCAAGTATAATCACTTTGGAGGCAGCTGTGTTGGCGGTATCTTGAATGACTTCAATCGTCTTCTGAAAGAGCACTCAGGAGATAACGGACTCCTGCCTCTGATAAAGAATTGCAAAACTCAAAATGTATTAGGCGAAACAACCAACCGTATATTAGGTGATAGCTTTCAGGGGATGGGAAATTTTAGCCTATGTTATTTGCTCATATAAATTTTATTTGTATTGCAAGCCACCTTGTGAGAGCTTGCCCTGAGGCTGGGGTTGTTGTTGTTGTTTAGTCATTTAGTCGTGTCTGACGCTTCGTGACCCCATGGACCAGAGCACGGCAGGCACTCCTGTCTTCCACTGCCTCCTGCAGTTTAGTCAAACTCATGCTGGTAGCTTCGAGAACACTATCCAACCATCTTGTCCTCTGTCATCCCCTTCTCTTTCCCTCTTTCCAGGTCTTTTCCAGGGAGTCTTCTCTTCTCATGAGGTGGCCAAAGTATTGGAGCCTCAGCTTCAGGATCTGTCCTTCCAGTGAGCACTCAGGGCTGATTTCCTTCAGAATGGATAGGTTTGATCTCCTTGCAGTCCATGGGGACTCTCAAGGGTCTCCTCCAGCACCATAAGGTCATCAGATTAAATCATGCCCTTTTATTTAGCACCTTGTAAGTTTTGCTTCTGTGTATGTATGTGTTTGTTGAAAGTGGGGCTCCACTCCCTTTTTTTCATGCTGGTCTGAACCCACCCTACTGTCTCTCAGCTGAATCCAATATAACCTTTTTTTAAACACACACACACACACACACACACACACACACACTGTGTGAAACATTTCCCTCTGAGAAATGGCTCTTTCACTTTAATGAACACAAGCCAATCAGCACTGAATGTGTTAGCACAAGGTAGCGCTTGTTTGTGTTCTGTACCCTGGAGATGCTTAATGAGATTGAGAGTAAGGGAACCGCTCCAGTGGGGCTCCAGCTCATAAGGCAAGGGAGAAATGATTTATGCAATGGATGTCAGCGAACATAAAGAAAACAAATTGATTCTATCCTTTCTCGAGCTTATTGGAAAGTTGGTACAATTTATTTCGTTTCATATTTTTTATATATATAAAGAAAACACTACACTTCTATGAACGATTATTTCGTATCAAGACTTATGAACCATTTAAGATTGTGCATACAGAAGCAAGACACGGTGCTTTCGTCTGGGGGGGGGGCACACCATTTGTGACCCACTGAGAAATGTGAGGGCCTCCAGTCTTTCATAAATGGCTGGTGAGCTGAGGCACGATGATACGAAGCGTTGCAAACTTGTTAGTTGCTTTTCTCACCAAAGCTCAAAGCAACAAATACAACTGGTGAACGCTGGTTGAGGAGTGAGTGATGGCCATAGCTGTCAACTTACAGATTTGAAAATAAGGGACCAGCAGCCTCGAAAATAAGGGATCAGCAGCCAAAATAAGGGATTTTCCGAACACAGGTATGTTCAGCTTCTGAGCCCCTCCGAGCCAAAGTCAGAAAGCCCAGCCAGCAGCCAAACGAAGCCTCAAGTGGTGGTTCCTACAGTGCAGCAACCCAGCAAAGGGGATGCAGCAAGGAAAACCACCGTCACCTCTCCGCTGGGAAGCGCTGAGCAAAGGCGAGTCCCCAGGCAACACGGCCGATTTGATCGGCACAAGGCATGCAAGCTCCACCCCCCAGTCGTTCTTAGACTCCTTATTGGGTGAGCAATGCAGCCAAGCAACACAGTTGGAGCCTCCCTCCTCCCTGGCCGGCAGGGAGGGAGGGAGAGGAGCTGCTTCCTTTGAAACCCGGGAAATTTAAGGGACATCATCAATAAGGGACAGCAGCGGGACATGGTGCTGGGATAAGGGACTTTCCCGCCAAATAAGGGACGGTTGACAGCTATGGTGATGGCATTTGGAAGCACTGAACGCAAAGTGACTGGGGCAGCATGATATGGCTGAGGAGTGCCTAGCAAGGTCTAGTTCAGGTTGATGATGTCATCACTGCAAGACCATGGAATCCCTTTTGCTTGTCCATCGTTCAGCCCGGAGGGCAACTTACTGCCACCCATCCATCTTCAGAAGCCATTGGTGTGGCCATGTATCTCACGGCCCAACAAGCAACTCCTTACTCCCGTTTAACAGGCAGAAAGCAAAAAAAATGTTTATCAAGTATATTGGGAGCTACCATGAAGCTGGCTGGTGGGTGGGCTGTGTTCAGTTTGAGGGGGGTCAGGATTAGGCCACGGGCTTTTCATCAGTACTCCTGGTGCTGAATGATGAGTTTTGACTGGACAACGAGAAATTCATGCAGCCTTAGTAAGAAACACAATGACTAAACACCATGGGAAAGTCTTTGAAATGGAAGACTCTATGGCAAGTTAAAATGGAAAGCGCAGCTTAATGTTATCAGTCTAACAATGTCGCCAAGCTTCATTTCTTTCTCATGCCCATAAAGGTAAAGGGAACCCTGACTGTTAGGTCCAGTCGTGGCCAACTCTGGGGTTGCGGCGCTCATCTCAGTTTATTGGCCGAGGGAGCCAGCGTACAGCTTCCAGGTCACGTGGCCAGCATGACTAAGCCACTTCTGGTGAACCAGAGCAGCACACAGAAACGCCGTTTACCTTCCCGCTGGGGTGGTACCTATTTATCTACTTGCACTTCGTGCTTTCCAACTGCTAGGTTGGCAGGAGCAGGGACCGAGCAACAGGAGCTCACCCCGTCGCGGGGATTCGAACTGCCGACCTTCTGATCGGCAAGGCCTACGCTCTGTGGTTTAAACCACAGCACCACCTGCGTCCATTATTATTGAAAAGGTTGCTAGGTTGGCAGGAGCAGGGACCGAGCAACGGGAGCTCACCCCGTCATGGGGATTCGAACCGCCGACCTTCTGATCAGCAAGCCCTAGGCTCCGTGGTTTAACTCACAGCGCCACCCGTGTCCCCTTCTCATACCCATAGTGAACCAGAAATGGAATAGAATGGAATCCAATCAAAGTTGGTTTCTCAGCACAAAAAGCAATAACCTCTAAGCGTTTCCTGGGACTTCCTGGCTATCAAAAAGGCCCCCTCCCAATTCATTCCTACAAATATTTGTCAGAACCTACAAATGTGTGCCATTAGGTTTTCAGGATGGCAGTCATAAACACTGCAGATGGATCTATTTGCTTCCATTCTTTAGGTCAGGGGTACAGATGTTGTACCCATGGGTACCCACAGGGCGGGGAAAGGGAGAACCCCTTCAATGAACCATAATTTCTAGAGTCTTATTTTTCTTTCTTTCTTTTTCTAGTATTTCTGGAAACTGAGATGCTAGACAAAATGAACAGGCACTGTTCTCAAATTACTACTACTAGAGAAATTAGCCTGCTCTCCCCTGACAGTGTTTCACTTTGCGGTTCATCCATTCCCACCCTCCATCAATGTCTCTAGATTAGGGCTTCCTAAACTTGGGTCTCCAGCTGTTTTGGGATTACAACTCCCATCATCCCTCGCTAGCAGGACCAGTGGTCAGGGATGATGGGAACTGTAGTCCCCAAACAGCTGGAGACCCAAGTTTGGGAAGCCCTGCTAGATGTTGTTGGACAAGAACTCCCATCAAACCCATCTAGCATAGCAAATGACCAGGGATTGAGTTGTATTCCAACCACATCTGGAGGACACCCAAACTTTAAATAGATAATAATAACAATTTATTATTTATACCTCGCACATCTGGCTGGTTTTCCCCAGCCACTCTGGGCGGCTTCCAACAGAATATTAAAATACAATAGTCTATTAAACATTGATAGCTTCCCTAAGCAGGGCTGCCTTCAGATGTCTTCTGAAAGTCTGGTAGTTGTTTTTCTCTTTGACATCCGTTGGGAGGGCGTTCCACAGGGCAGGTGTCACCACCAAGAAGGCCCTCTGCCTGGTTCCCTGTAACTTGGTTTCTCGCAGCGACGGAACCACCAGAAGGCCCTCGGAGCTGGACCTCAGTGTCCGGGCACAATGATGGGGGTGGAGACGCTCCTTCAGGTATACTGGACTGAGGCCGTTTAGGGCTTTAAAGGTCAGCACCAACACTTTGAATTGTGCTCGGAAACGTACTGGGAGCCAGTGTACAAACCCCCAAACCCATGTTCACCAGGGTCTTGAAAGCCAATTCCATGAATGTGCTTCTGAAGGTGTGAATTAACTAACAACTAACTAACAACATGCTTCATTCTGTTGAACATGGTGCCTTATGCATGCAAATACAGTCATACCTTGTGTTACGTTTGCTCCACGTCGCGGCTTTTCAGGTTACGAATGCGGCAAACCCAGAAGTGTTTACTTCTGGGTTCGCTGCATGCACATGCGAAGCGATCTGCGCGCTTCGTGCACGCGCAGTAGCAGCACTCTACTTACGGACTTTTCGGGGTATGAACGACACCCCGAAATGGATAGTGTTCATAAGTAGAGGTACCACTGTAAGACCAGGCTGCTGCTATGGAGGTGGCTTTCTGCCCATGTTTCCAACAGGAGCTGCATTTGTGCGCAAGCTTGTGTGACCTTTTGTCATTTTAAGCATCTTGTGCAATAAACCCGGCTTGAAAAGTGCCCTTGTGAATGATGAAGAAAGTAAAAATACATGACAGCCGCTTAGAAATTGAGCTTGGGCCTCTGTTCTGTTTACATTTGCATTAAGCAGTGGAGGAAAAGGAGGCCCTGTGCCCAGGATAGAAGGGGAACCCCTCTCTTTGGGGAGGCAATGTAGACACCCTGGCTCCGTTTAAACCTCATTATGACATCAATTCATGTTTTCTTAAGTCACAGGTTTGTGGTTCAGAACTGTAATAAGCCCTTTAGAAACAAGCTGCCTTGGAAATGTAACTTAATCCATGCAACTTCCAGGATTAAAAATAATAATAATTATATACTTTCTACACTGGCTTGTTGTGAATAAGTTTGCCCTGTAACTCTTTCATTTCAGTGAAGAACTCACACTTGTTCTTTTAGCATGACGATTCCTCTGTAATTTAAGGTGATTACATTTAGCAGCCTATTTAATTTGGCTTCTTTGGTTCTGTTCTCTCTCTCCAATTTTTCCCCCTTTTCTGCATTGAGTGGAGAAGTTTGGCGAATGGTTTCCATTCAATTTGCAGACATTCCTTCAAGAGGAAGGAATGGGCCGATATCACAGGAATACAGAAAATTGTACCAAGGTTGAGTTGATAATGTTGTATTTCATCATTTAAATCACTCAATGCTTGAAGAAAAGGAATCCTTCCAAGATAAATTATTCTTTATAATTTTCATCATTTGCCTCTCCAACCTCTCTGAGTGTCTTCTTTTCTATATTGTTCTGCCATGAAATAAGAGGGATTGATCATACATCAGGTGCACATGTGTGATAAAATGGTCATTTGTGCCATCCCTGATTCCCAATGAAATTGATGGTAAAACTCCTATTGATTTTACTTACTAGACCTCTTTTGAAGCCAATGATCTTGCACAATGACCATCCACTTGGAAAGTCTGCAGCAGGTGAATCCTGAATCCCCAAACGAGAGACCATTTCAAGGGTTGGAAGGATTTGTCCGTTTCAGTTTCCTCAATTTCTTATTAGACCGACGTTAAATTCAGTTCTCTAAATATTGCAAAAATAAAAGAAAATAAAGATAAATTAACATCCTCCTGTAAATTCACCAGATTTTAATGCAAATATCTCCTAATAAACAGGTGGCGCTGTGGTCTAAACCACAGAGCCTAGGGCTTGCCGATCAGAAGGTCGGCAGTTCAAATCCCCGCAATGGAGTGAGCTCCCATTGTTCGGTCTCAGCTCCTGCCCACCTAGCAGTTCGAAAGCACGTCAAAGTGCAAGTAGATAAATAGATACCGCTCCGGCGGGAAGGTAAATGGCATTTCCATGCACTGCTCTGGTTCGCCAGAAGCAGTTTAGTCATGCTGGCCACATGACCCGGAAGA